TCGGGACAATATATTCGAGTACAAGATATTTGTATATTAAATTGTTCCGGTAAATATAAACCGGGATGAAAACCGGACCTATTTCCCAAAATTTTTCGCAGGTAAATATTTGTATACAAATAATCGAATCGTATTTTTAGAATTTTATGAGCTGTTATCTGCATATCTACCGAAGTGTATTTCACCGAAATTTGCTCTCGTCGATTTTCAATGCCAATTTCATCATCAAACAATACGCAAAAAGTATTAAAAAAATAAAGATAAAACTTTTATCAAAACTCCAATAGTTTGAAAAGGAAACTGATCACGTACGAATAACCTACAGGATATGTTAATAAAATTATGTAAAAAAACACAACATAACGTAATAGAAAACATATAAATTCAACCCATATCATGTAACAGCGAGTAAAGCAACAAGGTTGAATGCACGTATGACACTGAATAAATCTCGAGGAATTCTAATAGATACGATTATGGTAATTTAGACATATATCATTAAAAATATATTAGATATTTTGTAATTAAACTACCTAACAAAGTCCACAAGACACCGTTGCGAAACTTATTATAATATCTACATAAATATTTTCACATGACATTTTTTCTATATCCATAAAGAATATTCAAAAGATATTAGTATCAAGAACAAACAAAAATATTAGAGTTGCTAATACATAAATCAATTATTTTTATAAAACAAGCTTCTGTTATTTTAGTTAACTATTAAATTTATTGACTGGACAAATGTTCAAGAAAATCTACCTCTAATTCCAGCAAGTAATTTTTGGGAACGCGAGCGCCCAAATCCAACGACGATATCATTCTGCGTCGAATTGGGAAAAATTGATCGAATTGCGACCACGCACGTCCATATTGTCCGATTCACATGTCACCTGAGGACGCACAACCTGCACGAAACGTCGAAATGCACCGGCCAACGTCTTTTTTCGAGCGCGTCGAGACCGCGATTGTGATTGTTTATAATTTCCCTAATCATTTCTAGCCTTAATAGAAGCGAGTCCAACATGCGCACTCCTTTCCTAATCCGAACCATCCGAAGCGATATAGTGCGGCGGCATCGAGGAAATTTTATGTTAGGGCTTGTTATTTAAAATAATTAGGACCCCATCTATAATTTACCATCAATTATTATTATTTTTATTATCAATATTTTAGTACAGTATTGTTGTATATGATTACATTTTCCGGTAATTAAAGGGATAAAAATAAATTCGTGATTGTACCGAATAGATTACAATTAAATAATTCCAACAAATGAGATAAAATTAGAGATTTGCTGGTTTTCTTTGCCAGACAAGGCCTTTCCGTCCGGCTATAAATGGTCTGTTTTTAAGTTTTACGACGGTTACAATAAAATTTTGATGGCAACACCATCACGCTTTTGCTTGGTCTGGTCATTAAACCCTATTTTTTTACTCGAAAACAATAACACGGTTGATTTCAGATGAAAAAGACCTACTTCTGATGGTATATTACGAATTTATTCGATTGGACCTTACTAATAACGTAGGTATACACGAGTGTAATCATTTACAAGCAAATAGCTGTTCATTGATAATGTTTAAAATCTGTGATAGAAGCGCTTTCAAGATACCAACCGAACGAGTACCCACGTAAAAAATCGTCAACTGTACGCTTTTGCTTATCTAGATCAAACAAAAGTTGATGGTCCTTTATGGAGCAAGAACGTACTCGCGATCCAATGAGGTCCTTTTTACATGTATACCCCGGTTCCAAAATAACCGGCTGTGATCCGTTTCAAATTTTTGAAAAATAGTGCAGGAGCAATCTGACCAGCGATTATCGAGCGACCTACACCATTTTTTAAAATAAAAAATAAGTCACTGTCAGTAATTTTGGAACCAGTGTATAGGTGAAGAATTGTTCATGCAACTCCCCGCTCAAAAATGGATTGTACGCGGATAAGTACGACCAATTTACTAGCGGAAACAGCGCATTTTTACCGAATTTTATTAATTCCGGTACTCACACAGTCATCGATCAGATAATGTACAATTCTCATACGTACAACGCATAACAACTTTCCTATTAACCGTTTAATTATTTCACTTTCCAACGTGAAAATGAACGCGGCATTGTCGCGGTGAAAATTAATGATTGCACGTTCTTGTTTCATCTATTTGTCGCTAAGCGTGTTGATACTGCGTAACAACGTTATTATTATTGAATTTAACCTATGGTTTCGATCAAAAAATATGAAAGTTTAGGTAGCGTTATTAAAATGCAATTAGCATTTGCGCTGTAAGGTGTATTATACCAATAACAAAACTTTAATATGCTGTTAATTAATAGATCGCATTATTTATGAAGTAGAATGGAAGTTCTAATAGGGACTGTTGATAAGTTAGTCTCTTAAAATTAATATTGTATGTTTTTTACAAAATGCATTATTTAGGTGTTAAATATTCCTTGTTAATGTACTCAATTGGTTAGTACAAGATACGAGTTCACTGACTTACAAAGTTTATTTACGTTTGAAAATGTCACTTTGAGTGCAGATCTAATTTGTTACAGACTGCTAATATTTTTTTAGGATTTATTATTGATAAATATTTACACAGTTGGATTAATTTTTACGTAGTTATAAATCTATATTTACACCTATATTTACCTATGTTTCATTAGGTTATCTATCAAATATTTCAAAAATAACACAAATGTCTTTGAATAGCTGGTATAAATATTAAGTAAAATTCAATCAATTTTAATTAGGAATGTGCGAAAATAGTTGCGGTAATAAAATAATGGAATTTCCTTAACGATATTTAATGATACCGATAACCAAAGTACACTTTGAAATTTGTCATAATAATAGTAATTGTTTAATATTTTCATTCAAGAGCAACACAACAAGATAGGCAACACTTTTGACTACAAATGAAGGAAGTTGTACGTAAACACTTGCCGAGATAAATGAACCAAAATTCGATTATTACTCGATTAAAAACACCAAAAGTAAACAATTCATTACGTGAAAATCCGCTTTTAATTATGCCATCGAACGGAATTTATCCGTCATTTTCAGTACGAATTCGTAACTGGCGTTAAAAAAGTAATTGCCTCATGCTATCGTTAATTCCAGCAATTAGATAAAACGTACGTACAAGTCATAACTTCCGAGAAAATGCGCTCCGCATTTTTTCCAAACGTTTAATTCGATCATCGAAATTATTCAATTAAATTGCTCCAATTAGTTAATATCCTCTCATCGTGTTGATGAAAATTTACGATTGAGAATTTTATTTTTCTTTCGACATGGCACAATATTTACCGACTGAGAATTATTATTTAATGGCATTATTGTAATAATTAGAAGGCAACAGGAACAATTTCTAAACAAACAACAAGATTCTGATTACAATGGTAATTAATATTATTATTGTTCCGATTCCATTGTATACAAAATAACGAATGCTTAATTAGTAGAAATTTCATATCGAATACATTTATCGAACGCTCTCGAAGAATATAACTTACCTGCGTTTCCAGGATATTCTGCGGTTCCTCGCAGTAGCTCTCGCGTATCTGATTCTTCCACAACATCACGTAGGGCGGCACCTCGTTCTCCGTATTAATCCTAACGGCGATCCTGTTGAGATTCGGCCCCAGGTCGAGTTCCCGCGCCTCGTCCAAGATGAGAGCGCTCAAACGGCACACCTGGGCGAACTTCAAATCGAGCTTCGGCGATTGGGGCGGCTTCGCGGCGCCGCGACGGTCACGATCGCAATCCCACAGATTCACGTACGGATCCTCGTCGGAGGTTCTCATATCTAGGCACAGCGCCCGGTCATCGTAGGGCTCGTAGTACTCGATTTGGCACCGGAGACCTTTCAGCCAGCACTTCACGCTGAAATCGTCGCACATTTCGCTCTGGCTTGACTCACTGGCGGAGATAAAACTTTTGCCACATCCTTTCGCCACGATAAAATGCCTCGATTTTCCGTGATTTTAAACAAATATAGCGCGATAAAGGCGACGTCTTTCCATGTTCGATGCGCGTCGTTCGCGTTGACTTGAAGACGGGGAATACTGAGCGCTCATTGATAAGGAGTTGGCTCGTTCGGAGTAATTAAATTGGGGCCCCGGGTGTACCGTACGGGTTCAATTGCTGTCGCTTGACCAATTTAATTTTTTTTAATTGACTAATTACGAGGCGCAGAAATGAGTATGAGAATGGGTTTGAATTGAATGGGCCCACATGTGCGTTGCGAAATCAATGGAGATGCTTGTGTTTGTTTTTATGGTCTGGATATTCCTTCTACTGTCTATATTATCTTCGGGTAATTTAAACGCGCCGCAACAGAGACGAACTTATTTGACGAGAATTAACTTCCGAAGCGTTTCGGAACACAATTCACTGGTATTATTTAAAGAGCACTTGGGAGAGTTGTGTACTAATTTCGACTTGTAACACATACACACGCATGCACGTTTATATTTCCGATCAATTACGAATGTAATGAGTAAAAAATTCCTTATTTAATAATCAATTACCTTACAATAATAACACGCGTGATTCACTTATAAATAAGAAATTATTCGAAAAAAATAGTTGTGTATCAAAATATTTTGCAGTTTACCAAATTCGACATTAAAATATAGAAAATTTTGAAATTTTTTAAATTACATCAACACCATTTAAGGGGCAATTTAAGAGAATATTTTCGATTTGCTATAATACAATTATTGTTCGGTTCCAGTCAAGACACGCAATATCCGGTGTATTGTTTATATAATTTAAATAATACAAACCAGCTCATCAACGAGAAATTTTAGGTATAAAATAGAATAGAAAAGAATTTCAACAGTACAGCTCTGACTGTTATTATAATGCAGGAATATTGGGAAATACGTTTACGAGATTATTTTATGCATGAAAATTTCATTTACGGTTTCCGGTTAGTATCAATTTGTCTGTTTATTTTAATGTAAATTTATATAAAATGAAAACGTACCCGAGGATCGTCGATTTGTTGGGCTTGTCCCGTAAAAAATAGCTCCTGTAAATAAAAAATATGTGAATTCCTTCCTGGTTTTACTTTTTGTTCAACATTTAATGAATTTATTATTTAAATAAATTGAAAGCAAATATGTTTTTATCACAAATACTTGAATAGACGAAACAAAATGAATCGAATACTTTTTAAGTTTCTCTAATAGTAAATATAGTAGTATTGGGCCACCCTGTATACACTTGATTTATAAAAAATACTTATAATTTTTAGATGATAGACAAACACCTGCACAATTGCATGTAAAAAGTATTGCATAAGTAACAGGATTAATATCTAATCGCGAATTAAATACATCAATATTTTACCAATAGTTTTTGAGATAAATAAAAATTAAAAACTATTAAATTACCGTAACAGATAACTTTATATAATAAATTAAAATAGATTAAATTTAACTTTAATCGATATACGAAAGGGAGAAATTAAGAGTTGCATCTAATAAAAAAAACAAGAAACAGAAATAAAGTTTTTTTTAACCGCTTTAGATAATATAATTTTTATTGCACATACATTGATACGTAGGCATTAAATAAAATGATTACATAACAATTTTTCGATATTTCATCGATTTCCAGTTTACGCAAGCGGTGTAGGTATTAAAGTAAAGGATAATATGTAATTGTAATAAATTAAAATTTAAATAGAATATTCGGGTAGGACTTACGTCTGATGATTTCGATAGAAATTTCATATGTGCTAAATCGTTGTTCGCGTTTCCTTTTGTATTTTTCACAACATAATAATCTCCTACGCACTTATCAAATCGTAAATTATCATCATTGTTCAAATTTGATGTTGATGTTTCATCGAGTTCATCAACATCTTCTGTTAATTCTGGATCAATTATGACTATTTCTTCATCTTCATCTGGGTCATTTTGTAATTGATCTACGGTAAATTCCTTCATTTCGTGGATATCGATGTGATGAAATATGTTTTTTCTTCTTTCGCAATCTGATATTGGATTGTTAATGTATTTTTCCCTTATAATTTCATCTGCAATGTCTTCATTTTCCCTCGTTTCACTTAGTTCCGTTTCATTGTTGGGCAAATTTGACGTTATTTTCCTAGGAAACAACGGCGATGAAATCATATCTTTCGTAATTTTTCTTCCATCAAGCGTTCTATTACTCAAATTACTTTTAAAATCGTCAATATGCCGTTGTTCTTCCTTAAATTGTTCATCTATTTGTACTGGAATCTCATCTTCCTCATAAACAGAAATATCGCTATCACTACCACGTTCGCTTTCATCGGAAGAAACCTCAGTAATTGTAAGGTGATCGCATTTCTCCGCGAAGTTGCTCCACAAATTGTTCAATTTTCGAGGACATCTAGGTCCCGATATCATGTCCTTGGTGATTTTGAACTTGCTCCCACTTTTGTTCACCAGTAAACTATCCAAACTGGAGGCCTTCCTCAACGGGGCACCGCCCCCGAACGGATCCCTGTCATCGTACCAAGCCGAGCGCGTGTTGATGTTGTTCTTTCTGGTGCTCCTCTTCAACGAACCACCCCCCCATTCGGGGCCGGCGAGGAGACTCGATTTGGCGGCCATGTCAATTAGTAAACAACACGAAACTGAACGATATCATCTCCGATAGCGCTGCAACCTGTTACTAGATCTCTTTATCTGGCTTTATCTGATTTACTTTAATTGATAAATACGGTAATTCGGATGATTTTCAGTGAATCAGTGTGTTGTTTACACGATAAAATGTTGCGAAACATGCACAATTACGCGAAGGCTGGTAAAGAATAACGATTTTACGAGCACCTACGCACAGTACGCTTGTATACAATTACCGGTTATCCTCTAATGTAATTACTGAAAAAAACTAGTAATTCAATAACAGCCAGATAAGCGGATTTATCGAAATGAATTTTTAATTGTTCAAACACATATTGTATATAAATTCCCACTGATCACGTTTACAAATATAAATCAATTAAGGAACCTTAGAATTTAATAGAGAAATTTGGTGCTCAAAAATTTGCACTGATGAGACTTCTAAAACGTTCTAAGCTTGTTTAATGTACAAATGAAAACGTCTCGTATGATTAAAATAAAGCAATAAAAGCGCAGGCGAAACGGAAACAACAAATAGAGCACAATTTATCATTGTAATTGGCTCATAATCGCGACTGTTAACAGGAAGAAAATCTGGTATGAATGAATATTGAAATAATATACGTACGTGTGTTTTGTTGAAATTAATTGGACTGTTTAAGGTCGATAAATCAGGACATAAAAGGAATGGAATTTTATTGTAGGATGTTGTTGAAACCATAATAATCTAGCAAATACTAGTCTTCTACTATAAATGAACATTCTGAAATACATATTGAAATAAGGGGTAACTGTCTTCGATATACAATTCTTTAGGTAAAATTGGTTAGATTATTTTGTGAGCTAACAAAATTCTTCAAATTAGTATATTCCTATTTAATGATATAGTAATGTTGTAATGTTAGAAATTACCTCAGAAATTGCTCGTAAAATGTGGTTGAATATTATATACCATTCTTCGATGCCACATCATGCAGGAATCGAATTTTTGATTAAAATATACGTACCCTTTTGAACAAATCCGATAGCGAAGTGGACCTTCTGTCGCGCCTCGAAAGCAAGTCCGGATTCGATAGCTTGTTGTCCCGCCTTTCCGAGCTGCCCGAAGTTTCCAAAAACTCCACCGACGAGCTTTTCCTGGGGTCCAATTTGGTCTGTTGCTTGCGATACAACGAGTTGCATTGGAGCTCGTTCAAAACGGCCGCCGAGACGGATTTCCTCGACAATCCGGCGTTGAAATGCGACAGAGAAGTGGAGTTCGAATTGCCCGGGAAGTTGACGCTTCCCCTGCCGAAACCTACCCCATTTTCGCTGGCACTCGGCAAATTATCGGCCCGCTCGCTCCGTAAAAATTGTTTACCTTTGTTGTTATTAAATGCGACAGAACGATTTGGAAGAGACATAGTTTCATCATTGTTACAGCACACAAACACTGGCGAACGAAATTTCGCGATAAGCTTCGTCAATGCAGCTCTTAATCAGACGTTATCTCGCTTTCGTATTATTTCAGTCGCATCACGCTTCATTGTTTTGAAGGAACCGCTTTAGACTTCGACCATCTTGAAACTTTTTTGACATGACAACAATGATGTTTCGTGTTCTGTCAACGTGAAAATCAACGGTTTAAAATTGGTCTTTTACTGTGCAATTATTGAGACATTTTTAATTTACCAAGTAAATAATCAATTCCTAAAGGATTTCAAATGTGTATGAAATAAAAGTAAACGTAAAATGTCCATTAATAATTAATATTTAATATAATATACATTTACAAGATTTACAAACGTGTAATATCGCTAAACGTGTAAGTCAAAAATAGAAAAGAAACGCTGGAGTATTTAAAAATAAAAAGTAACAAACCCTAACTAATCTATGTATACTTTTATAAAAAGAATAGCACTCTCTTACTACCATCTGTTGCGACTCTGATAATTCTGAGATCGGTTGCTCCATTGACTCGATTCAGTAGAGTAACTGGGGTAATTGTTGCGACTGCTGCTGCTCTGAGATCTACTCCCTGCAAAAAAATAAATCATATTAATTCACAACGCCCTACACTAATCATTTTATTACAAAGAAACAAATTAACTTACGATTACTGCCGCTTTCGTCGCTATTATTATATTGACTATAGCTCCCTTGATAGCCCGAATCCTGATTGCTCGTGCTGTTGCCGCCCATAAAACCCCAACCGGCTTGATTGAGAGCCGCCGCCACCAGAGCAGGATTCACTGGAAGTTGACCGAGAGTATTTAAAACCGTTCGAAGGGGATTACAATTACCCTGCTGCCTTTGACCTGTTGCCGTAGACATCTTTCGTAAGCATTACTAAATAACATCTACTAAGCAACGAAGTTGGTAAAATGCAAAACAAATGGCAAGTTGTTGGATTTTTAACGTGGTATTTGCAAATAAACGCGTAACCAAATCGATCAAATAAAGCAACATGCTCAATTTCAATGCAATACTTACTTATAGAACCGAGATTAGACATTTCTGTGTTGCTCATATTGCTTCCTGTTCTGTTGGATTGGCCTTGATTGTTCCAATCATTTGAACCCGAATTGCTACTAAATCTTTTAGGTTCATTATCATCTTCATCATCCCAAACTCTGTTACTGTGACTTCCATTTCTTCTCTTGCCGGTCTCGAATTTCTTCGGCTCGTGTTTGGGCGCTGCATTCGAAACGTGTACAGATATTCCTAAAAAACGAATCAAATATCTTAAATTCTTTGCAAGGAAAATCGTTTGAGTACTTTAATTTATACAAAAGTAATGTGAATAGTTACCTTTAATAATGTGGTCTTCACCGCAAAGAGATTGTGCAACTTCGGGATCTAGAAAGGTAACAAAGCAAAAGGCCCGAAAGGGTTTCGGCATGAATATGTCAGTAACTTCTCCGAATCTCCCGAAATAATCCCTCAAATCTTCTTCCGTCATATCTTCAGTGCATCTTCCCACAAATAGTCTGCGTGGAAGTTGTTTAATAACGCCTTCCTAAAAATATATTTCATTTACTATAACAATTAGAATTTAATCACATAAGTTTCATGTATGTTAATGATATGTATTAAATTTGATCAAGTAATTACATAGTGAATTAACGTACAGCATTACCCACATTTTTGTGTATCTTACTTAATACATTCTAACAGCATATAAACCGGCACCCGTTCAACGAATGCTACTTACTTTAGATCGGGGTACTTTCACATCACACCACCTGCCATCAATCATATGTCTCTGTGCTAAAACTCTCATCTGAGACTCATACTGAGCAAATCTTATAAAACCGAATCCCTTCGAATTACCGTCGTTGTCTTTCTTGATTTGGGCTACCAAAAGGTCGCCGAATTGCGTAAAATATTTCATCAACTCCTTCTCATTCGTTTTCCATGCCAAACCGAGCACAATCAAATCAGTACACCTCAATTTACTTTCCAAACGCTTAGATTTCGCAGCTGGACTATCTCCCGCATCATCATTCTTACGTTTATTTTCTAAAATGGTAAAACTTTTTTTATGGTTTTTCACACGAAACGCCGGGCATTAATTTAAACTTTCGACTACTTCGATTGCTTAAAGCCACTCTTGTTCCAAAAACTTTCAAACTCTTCACAAGTCTCGAGTACGAATAAACATATGAAGGAAATAGAACGCAAACTTAAAGTCTTCACGAATCTTACATACTGATTAGGAATTACATAATAACATTCATCACATACGATTTGTTGTATTGCCTTCAGAGAACCCTCAAACCGTTTTCTACTAAACTAAATGCTACTTACCTTTCGGAAATGAGCAAATAAATAACTTGGAATTCCATCCCCCGTCAGGCGGCGGGTGCAGGACTCCTTCCGAAAGCCGGACTCCTCGGTATACCTTACTGTCGGGATCTGCTTTGTATTTCAAGCCCAAAGCTCCGGGAAATTGCGCTACTACGGTGCTGAGAAGAAGCGTACCGTCTTCTTCGGTGGGCAATTCTATGGGGCTCTCTCCTTCTTCTTCGGATACTTGCAAGAACTTTACAGGCATCTTAAACTGTTAAAAGTAATCAAAAGTTACAATTCCTTTCAAATAAGAAAATAATGCACTATCAACAAAACAAAACGCACGTCCACTGGCTGTCATTAAATTTGACATTAGTGACGTTTAACACATAATCTGTCAGTGTTATCAGCTTTTTATATAAACAATATAACAATTTTAAAAACCTGTAAATAATTAGAAACGACTTAAAGGAATGTTGTTTTAAATTTTGGACGTTTAATCTGGATGAAAATAAACCCAAAATGTTGGTTGAATAACTAACTACATTACAATTGATACTAAAACGAAGAAATTAAAATTTTTGACGTTTCGTTTACATCATTTGTCATTTTCGACAACCCGTCATTCCATTTTTAGAGGATCGAATTTTGTTGAATTTTTGCATTCAACGAACAAAAATGGGTTTTTCCAGTACTGTTTATAACGCAATTTTCAAAAGAACATCCACAATGGCTTTGGCTGTCATTGTGTCTGCCTTTGCATTTGAAAGAACCTTCGACCTGGTTACAGACAGTATATTTGAAAAAGTTAATGAAGGGGTATGTATTACATAATTATTCTTCGAGATCCTACTGTTACTTTACTTACTTTTTTGTTCCAGAAATTATGGAAACACATAAAGGATAAATATGAAACAGAAGAATAAGTCAGTTATGTTGTATTAGTGTAGCCTATTGTAAATAAATTAATTAAAAAAAATGTTTATTGAATCTTAAATAACCACTACTAAAAGTAATTATAATTATAGTATAGCCTATTCTGTAACTTCCCAAGGTTTTTCAGGCCTGTACTGATCCCATGGCCTGCTAGGTTTGTACTGAGGTGGTTCTTTTAGGCACACTCCTCCTTCTTCTAAGGCCTTTAAAAATTGTGCGGTTTTATCATTCGGAACTTTTGGTTGAATAAAACAACTAATTTCTAACAATCCTGCTTGAAGGCATCTATGAGCTAAAACCTACAAAATGTGCACAAATATAGATCATTATTGTCACTTTGTGTCTATTTAAATGTGATCGTTATTACCCTTCCTAAGTTGATATAAGCTGAAGTATCCAGTGTTCTGTATAACTGCTTCTTGATGGGCCATTCCGAAGTACTTGCGGATAATACTTCCCCATTTTGAAAATGTTTTACACTTGCGGTTAGATACCTTCCAGTGGTTGTTAAAACTAATCTAAAAATGAATTTAAATTAAAATGAAAATTACGGGCTACTTGTATGATTTACTTGTGCCAATAAATTTTTCCAGGGGCGTCTACATGGTACCCATTAGGTTTATAGCCGATCCGCATGCGTTCTAGGTTTCTTGGATTTCGGTTTGTAAAGACGGAGGCTACCTCGTTTTGAGGAAGATTCGCATAGTGACGATTTTGTATCGCTTTGTTTATTAAAATGTTGCTTTTCGATTTGAACATTTTTAAATTTTGCGAAACATAACCACAATTTTTCTTCTCTTTTTTGATCTATTTTCTTTAAACTGTACCTATTTTCAAGTCAATGTACAATGAATAGGAATGACATTTGTTGGATTTGACAGCATGACAGCTAGTAGTTTTTATTTTTCACGTCAAAAAGAATTATTTAAATATAAAGTTTCTTATCTATTTTTATTCATCATTTTCGATTACTTTTCTTAGTAGTCGTGCTGGTTGTTTCCAAATTTTCGTATATTTTTTTGTGTTAATATTTGTCATATTTGTCTATATGAGGACTTTGCTTTACTAAAACTTAAAATTACTATAAAACTAATAAGTCCGCAATTAAAACTAACAATAAGTAATTTCAAGTAATAGCCAATTTGTTTGTTAAAAAATAAAATATAATAACGTTTTCACGCAGACGTACTCAAACGAAAGTGAAGTATTTAAAAGTCGGCAACCACTGCAGGAACGTTACTTAAACAATAATATTTCCTCGGCCGGTGTTCGATTCCCAATTGGATTTTCCTGCATAGATGCAGGATATTAGAAAATCCGTAGATAAATTTTCCACCTCTACACAAATCCATAAGATATTTTGTAAATAACAAACTGGTTCCCATTAAATCAGTGCATCCCAAGTCCAGTTCAAAGTTCATGAGATTCATATGTGAGTGAACCATACACAATATGGCCCTTTTGAAGAACACCATAACAAAATTGAGTAAGTTTCAGTTAAATGAATATTTAAAAATAATAAATTTATTGACTTTCGTTTTGTTTTTTGCTTGGTAATGTGCAACACACATTTTCTAATGAATCGATCAAATATCCGATTAAAATAAGATGAAAGGTTAAGAAGATTGGGTATCATCTAGTCTTTGAATAAGTAATTAAATGGAAAGTTTCAGTATTATTTAATGATCTAGTACTTTTGTTTTATTTATGGAAAGAATATAATTTACATGCATTACGAAAACTTTTTACTAAAACGTTATTTAAATTTTACTAATTAATTAAACTGTGTTATTTTTAGAGTACATATTTATTAAACTATGATGTTTAAGTAAGTACATTTAAATAGTACAGCAATTGTGATAAGCTATCCAAAAACACAACCTTTATCTAAAATATTCAAAGGCTTTAGGTACTGTTAATTGCACTAAAATAATTTGAATATTTAGTATACAATTAAATTTAAACCTAATGTATTATTATTTAAAAATGCTAAAACTCGAAAAAATAGTCCTGGTCCTTATTTAGGACAAAAATACATTCGAATACTGCCCGTTAATTATTCCACTATTATTAGGTCACATCATTTCATTGAGAAAAATATCTAATAATTCCTGAAACAATGACACCAATTAATTAAAAATTCCCCTTGTTGTTCATTAATTCCGAATATTAAAATTCTATGAACTTACCTTGAGGTCAACCTTATTAAATAGATCTGTTTCTAACGGCTCTACGCGCCTAAAAGATGTATATAACAACAAGTTCACAATGAAATTCCGATTTAAAAAAACCTTTTATAATAGATTCCGATTTTTTCGGTCTTACTCTGTAGTAATTGACGTACTTGTAGCTTGTAGTGTTTTCCTATACCCTGCAGTTCAAGGTTCCATTATGGTAATTCGACTAAATTACATCCGAATAAGTACCCTAGTTTTATTTTATTGTATTTTTAAATACTACTCTACTCGATATACCGGATAATACTCATAAGAATAATGCCTGGGAATTGAGAATTAAAATTCCATACAACTAGAACTTATTCACTAGGCTTTTGTTAATATCCTTAGCGCACCGATACCAAAAATTAGCACCATGATTCGAGAATTAGACTAACTTCGATTCGTTCCAGCGGCGTTTGCCGGGCACAGGGGCATCGCCTCCTTGAGCGCCCTCTCGGAGACCCACCAGATGCTGCAGAAGACCTGCAGGGACTTCGCCGATGGCGAGCTGAAGCCCATAGCGGCGAAATTGGACCGCGAGCACCTCTATCCCAGGGACCAGATCAAAAAAATGGGCGAACTCGGCCTGATGGGCATGACCATACCGGAGGAGTTCAACGGTAGTGGGCTCGATTACCTGGCGTATGCTATAGCAATGGAGGAAATATCCAGAGGGTGAGGGTATTATTAGATATACCTTGTAATTTTGAGTTAATTTTGACGGTGGTTTTTAGATGTGCTAGTGCAGGTGTAATCATGTCGGTAAATAATTCCTTGTACTTGGGGACGATACACCAGTGGGGAACAAGGGAACAGAAGGAAAAATTCATTGTGCCATTTACGTCCGGAGAAAGGGTACGGTTTGATATACAGTGTTCCGAAATAGTGAGAACATGGACTATGCATGGTAGATCTATAGCCACACTATTTTGGAATGTACTTATGAAACTCAATTAAGGAAACTATCATTTATTTTCCTGTAATTTATGTTACTCTAGGTAGGCAGTTTCGCGTTATCGGAACCAGGAAATGGTTCCGACGCAGGCGCAGCTTCGACCATCGCCAAAGAGGAAGGGAATCATTTCGCATTAACCGGCACGAAATCCTGGATTACCAGCGGTTACGAAAGCGAGGCTGTCGTAGTTATGGCCACAACGGACAAAAGTTTAAAACACAAAGGTACAATTTTCAAATTTAATTCAATAATTGTCAACGAAGGAATAACGTCTCTTTATCTCACTAATATGGCGTTAAATTTTTTAGGAATATCCTCGTTTATCGTTCCCAAACCGATAGAAGGACTCGAATTGGGGAAAAAGGAAGATAAATTGGGCATCAGGGCGTCGTCCACTTGCAATTTAATATTTGATAACTGCAAAGTTCCCAAGGAGAATTTATTGGGTAAACCAGGAAGCGGATTCAAGGTAAACTATCTGCAAAAATTGGTCAAATGACAAACCTGTATCAGGATATTTCTGTTAAATCAAATGGCCTCTTGCTATTCGTTTATGTGTCTTAATCGAATTACGTGTTATATTACAGGTGGCTATGATGGGACTGGACGCAGGAAGGATAGGAATAGCCGGTCAAGCGCTGGGAATCGCCCAAGCATCCCTGGAAGTACGTTAACTATACTTTTACACTATCAAAGAACATAATCTTCTCATACTTTAGACTTATTTTATTGCAGGTTGCAGCCGAATACGCCTCTAAGCGTTTAGCGTTCGGTACACCCCTCACGAAGCTTCAGATCATCCAGCAAAAACTAGCCGAAATGGCCGTTCGTTTGGAATCCGCGCGATTGCTAACGTGGCGGGCGGCTTGGCTAAAGGACAACAAGAAGCCCTACACGAAAGAGGCCGCCATGGCGAAGCTGGCCGCTAGTGAAGCTGCCACGTTCCTCAGCCACCAGTGTATACAAATTTTGGGCGGAATGGGGCGAGTGCTTAACATTAATTTGTTACTTTTGTACCTAAATTGGGACATAAATAATTGTTTTTTATCTTGTTTTAGGTATGTTTCGGATATGCCAGCAGAGCGCCATTACAGAGACGCTAGGATTACGGAAATCTACGAGGGGACGTCGGAAATCCAAAAACTCGTCATCGCTGGGAATCTGATCAAAGAACTCGGATTGAATTGATATTTTTAATAATAAAATTCTAACATTTTTTTTAACCAATTCAGTCAAAATCAGTCCAATTACTTCAGTTTATTTTTGTTCAACTAGAGGAAACTAAAAAATAAGGGTAAGAACTACTTCTTAATTAAAATTTGTTTGTACTAGAATCAACTAGTTTCCAGTTCTAGTAAAGCTAAAGTAAACTAAAGCCAACGAACAAAATTAGTTTTAACGGTATCATAACTAATTTCTCAAATAGTTTAATAAGGTATATTTTAAATAACATTTTCGCAAGTTTTACAATTATATTTTAGATAATGTTTACAAAATGCAATACTGCAATTATGACCGAAATAGATTTTATACTTAAACGAACTGTTTAATTATTTAATCCTCTTAAGACAACGTTATTTCCAAAACGCGAGATGTAAAGTGGTAAATGATAACTTACTTATCCGTATAATTTATTAGAAAACAAAATATCGTTACAGTCGCATTGTATTTACGGATTAATGTTGTTTACGTCTGAAACTGCAACCTTCTGTGAGCCTCGCTTTGCCTCCGGTCGACGTGCAAAGGATTGTCGAGCATCCTTTGCAAGGAACGGCGGATTGGGCGTGCGAGAAAATCGTCGAAATGGCATAGCAACCAGGACATTTCACGTCCATAAAGTAACTGTTCGGATGCTGAACCAACCTAAAATAATAAAAAAAAAATAAAAAAGTTTCTTTAGATAGTAATTAAAAAAATATTTTCGAAATAATGCTTAATGTAGACAAATACGATACTTATTTATACATTTAAAAATATTACACAAGGTGCTGTAAAATTGTTCTGACAAGTTCAGACATGCATGGAGGTGTTGGAGGTTAAAAATTATAATCCTTAAACAAAACAATACCGAGATATTTAGAGAATAGGGAATATATTATGAGTATTTATAAGTAGTGTTTTAAATTACCTTTTCAATTTGTGCGAACGCTTCTGTTTTTCGGCAGAAGGGTGCAATAAGTCGACGGCTAAAGGCATCTGGAAAGACAAAAATACGATGTTTTTATGAATAAATTTTTGCTAAAAACGACGATGGTCGCGGTGCGAACCTATTCGGCCGTCTTATTTACCTTTTTTTCGTTTATATTTTCCGAAAAACGTAAAAATTACTTCAGCAGCACGTGTTACTTTCGGCAATCAACTATGTAAAAGAATGTGGCGTTGACAAATGACAGCTAGGTTCGCCAACTTTTTTATCAACTGTCAACTTGGTAAATTATTTCTTCACTTTCACTTTTTAGCATTTTTATTAATTTTATTTAATTCTGTCTCACTACTAGAAGCCATTCATGCTCATTATGTTTATCTCTTTTGTGGGACATGAAATACTAAGGCTATTCGTTCTAATTTATTTAATTCTTCTTCTTTTCTAATAAATTGGCCACAGGTATTGTGGCTATTCGATCATTTTACTTTGTTCATAAATGGAAATTGACAGTTGACTGTTGACAGTACTAGTTCAAAGTTCGATTCACGACATACGGATTACGGAAACAGAGACGGCGAATATCGTATCGTTGACAGGAAGACAGCTGATTACAAGATTACGATAAATATGTAATTTTTTCCCACTAATCTCCGTTGTCTAAAATTATACGTGAATCTATTAAACATAAATGTTATTTAAACTTCAGGTGAGTTCAACTACGTATTTTTAATAAAGATAAATCATTATTCGAAATAAACATGCACGCGATTACAAAAAGCGTAATTAAAATTGCGATGTCCATATCGATATCGTTAATTCCGTCGCCTCTTGTCCCCGTACAAAAGCCATTTAAACAGCTACATAGCGTGAATAAATTGCGAATTGTCCGATAGATAACTGAGCGTACGTGACCTTTGTTCGTTATCGGGAATTAACCAGCAAACGAATCGACTTGCATTTCAGTTAAAGTAGTCGTTCGAAGCGAAAATGTCGCACTACAGCGATGCCGAAGAAGACTCCATCGATGGTATCCAAAAGGACGATGGAGTCCGGAAAAGGAGGCCCATGGGCTGGGCATTGGACATCGAAACCGAATCCATTGCATCCGAGATTAAGGACTTGTTAGAAGAAGATGTTAACTCCTTGGTAAGTTATAATTTTGTTATTCGCATGTTATTCGTACGATTGATTTGCTTACGAATATTCGAAATAGATAATATATTTTCTTATTCTTGTTGTTAAAGAGCGTTCGAGTAAATACTTGTAGTTGAAAATACTGGTGTATTAATAATGTTATAAAAATATTTTGAAAATTTCAAATTTCCAAACTAAAAGGAATTTATCACATCTATGCAATGTTAAGCAATAAAATTATTATTGTTACAAATAACACCAATTCCTTACACTTTTTTTTCATTTAATTAAATAACGTGTATAATGTTATTACTAATTATCTCTTTTAGAAGTAATTTAATTCAGTTTTTGTGCGTTTATGTTAAATTAGTAGTATAAAAAATGGTTTAGCAAGTCCGTTAGGTGATCTCGCTGCTTATTATGCTGGAGAGAAAGTGTTTTTTTTTTGGCGAATAAAAGTGAATTCCAATTATATAAACTCGAATTGTACGGGTTTCAAATTATGAAATGGGGTCTTTTGTCTGGGTATTTTAATTTGACTTTAATGCCTGCTTCATCATATAGTACTTGATGCGAGTACGAATTCATTAAAACAGGTTATTTTTAATGATAATTATTAGTTGTAAAATAATTGTTGTAGATTATTAGAAATGATGTATTTCTAAAAAACACTCGGTAAATTAATATTGTGCTATTTATTTTCATATAATTGGCCTATTTTATGTATAAAAGTAGGTAGCTATGCAGCCAACTTTCTTTTATCCACAAGGAAAAAACTTTGAAATAAACTTTTCAAGATATCTACGAAATTTTCTACATAGACACAAACAATAACAGCACTGGTTACCCAATTCTTATCCAATTCTTGCAAACTTTCTACAAATTTGCACAGTAGCACTTTCTTTATCACTTTCTTGCGTGTGGCCTCTTGCTATTCGATTATGTACCTACATTTGTATCCCTTTTTGAGCGTTAAGCGAGCCTGGAAAATGAAATTCTAGCGACAAATTTCCCCGTATAAAACCCTCCATTATCTCTTTCTTTATTCGATTAATATTTTAGGTGGAAGAGGACTGCGTTGGCTGTCCTTTGCCATCCACTCCTGAAGATGAGAACATCTTGGATTCCGAAATGAGTGAAGTTTTAAAAGCGGCTGTCCTAGGTACAGGTAGAGTAGTTTAGATTTTCCCCACCTTTTTTACGTTCATTTTATCGTTTGTCGTTTGCTCAGGTATTATTGTTTCGATTTTATTTGTAGTTTTTAAGTGCAATTATCGAGTACAAAATACAGCATGCTTTTCGATTGTTTTTTTTTCATCGGAATTTTTTGAATAGCGAACGTGGAGAATATTGTTTTCATAATTTATCGCATTGGAACTTAGTTGGTAGTTTATGAATTGGATTTAATGGATATATTTATCAAACTTTTGACCTCTATTTACTCTTCGAGCCTCCTCGAATGTCGTCCTGAGCGTGACCAGAATTTCCTCAGACGAAAGTCGGTATGAATTATCTCCAATTTTTAAGATTTCACGTCTAGTTTAAATGTTATCTTAATGTTAAAATATTGCATGAATTCTTTTTTCCCATCTCATTTTTTCCTTGAATATTCTCGTTACTGGAATAAGGAAAATCTAATTATTCTCATGTAGATTCCACATATTTTTTAAAACAAAATGAAGCTCATTTTTAATTCAATTTTTTTTTCGACTTTTCTAAACAACTCAAATTCGTCAATTTGACATTTTTTTAAATTTCATTCGCGTCAAAATTTTCAGTATGGCTCCAAAAATGCAAATAAACTTTTTGGTAAGTTTGAGTTCTATTTTGTTAGATTTTCATATGCAATCTTTGGAGAATAAATCGCGAATATCGACCGCAAAATCATCACGAATCATCGTATATATGATAATTTTAGGTTTTTTCCCATTTGAGTACTTGTAAATTGACAGTAGTTCATTTAACGAAAGGAGTATACAGGGTGTGACTATTGTTAATTATTTCGAAAATTTCTAAATATTAAAAAACAATGTCTATAATTTTTTTAACAATCTTTCGAACACTTAGCTATTCAATAAATTTCACTTATTTACGAGCGATTAATTTGATGTGATAGTAATTTGTTTGCATTCGCTCTTAATCGATTACTCTTACTGAAATTAATTCCACGAAGTTCGTATTAAAATAATCGATTATCTTTGTCAATAATAAATGTATTATAGGAAGTCTAATTAGAATGGTTACAAGTAGTATAAATTCTGCAAAATAAATATTTCACACGTAAAATATCCAAAAGTATCTCATTTTTAAATTATAGTAGTCCTGAAATGACAACGAATTGATCGAAAACAAATAAAAGTATTGTAATTTTATTTATTGCAATGAAATTGAGCAATTTCACGTTGATTTTCCTATGATAAGCGATTATTTAGTGTTTTGTTTGCATTCTATACGATTATAATTTATCATTGTTTACTAGCAGTAATTATTTCGTCGCTAAAATTAGATAAACAATGCTGTTTTTTGTGGAAGAAAAGTCGATTTATAGCGATTTGCTAAATTATAGAGATTGGCCAACTTAAGAATGGGAATTAAAAAAAATACTATACTCCGTTCGTCAACAGGAGACAGTAATAAAACCTTCTTGAAGCAGTAAATCCAACAAATAAATAAAATTATATATTCATACATCAATGTAAGCGTTGTTTAATTTTAATTTTATTAAAAATTATGTATCTTTTTAGTATCTATTTAATTTCGCAGAAGCTCTACTGTGCCCTGTATTCAGGTTACTTTATCGGGAATTAAAAATGGTCGCCTATTGTTAAACACAAATGTATACAGAGTGGAACTATTAAAGTAAAATATACTTTGCTATTAAACAATGGTAACTACCTTAAATTTTTTAAATTTTATGATTGTTTTCGTCGATTCCACACGTGCTGCCTTTTGCATACAAATAGGTTTTATTATCTCCCGATAGCGAACGGAGTATTGTAATTTGTTAAATTTGTAATTTAATTAAATTCCAATCTTAAATTGGCCCGTTTCCAAAAGACAAAGCAACCACCAAACCCAAACATGAAAACTACATCTGTTTTCTCAATGAACAACAGGAGATGAGTTAGATATCAGCGCATTGGCCCACAACGCTGCATCCCAAGCGGAGCATGTGGTGCGCAAGATGATACAAGCCGGTTGGTCCGTATGTCACTTTCGCAACCTGCCCGCCTGGTTGCAGGACAACGATTTCCTGGTGTTCGGCCACCGGCCGCCCCTTCCCAGCTTCAGGGCCTGCTTCAAGAGCATCTTTCGCCTTCACACCGAAACTGCCAACATATGGACACATCTGCTGGGCTGCGTCGCCTTCATAGGTATGTACATATTTTGTACATACTAGTATTACATACTGTAATAGTAGTAGTAGTAGCAGAAAGAAGAATAATATCTAGGCGTCCAAAATAAATGGGATGTTAGTAGTGTGAAGAACAATACATTTTTGTAGTAAAATGGAATATTTGAGAATTTTTATTGAACTTAAGATAGAAAAAATGTAAGTTTTTCGCAATTATCGAATTGAATTATTGATTTTTATAGATACTTCAATTCAAAAAAATGTTATTTATATTGCCAAAAGTTCACTTTATACACGGTGTTAAATAATTGAGTACCGATACTTCAGGATGTGAAGTCGATTTTTTTAGGATGATTTTAAGGAGAAAAGTTTATATGTCCTAATATATGTCCAATATACAGAGTGTACGAATTCTTCCGCTGCAAGCGTTAGAATTAGAATCTCAATCAATACTATAAGATAGTAAAGAACAGAAACTTGTTTATCGGTTGCCGGCCGATATTAGAATTCGTCAATTCGCTTCGCTTCGTTCACTAGCGAATAGCGGGGATAGCGGGCGTGACTATTTCGTATGTTCTCTTTATTCCTTACATAGCAAAAGTTAAATTAGCTATCTCATTATTCTCATTATATGCTTGCAGCGGATCAGTTCGTACATACTGTATGTCCTAAACCTCTTAGTTTTCGAGCTAAAGGGTGTTGCAGTTTTAGAAGAAAAAAATACTTTTCAATCATAATTTTCTTATTACTTCAGATATTTTCATGGAAGTTTGTACACATTTTTTAATTATTAAGGAGCATATTTTGAGGCAAAAGATTTTTTTAAATTTTTACCAGTGACGTTCTAATGAGGTTTGAACTAAATATATTTGAAAAAAATGGTATGCCACTGCTTTTTCTAAAAACCAAAATTATTTTTAAAATTTTCATTCATTTTGTAGCAAATTCGGTCCAAAGACTTACTTTCGTACGACGCATCATTTTCGAGTAAAAAAATAAAGTCCATTGAGACTGCTTCTGATATTTTGTTGACATTTAGTATGCACCCAACACTAATTGACAAAAATTAATTTTCTACTACTACTAGTGACGACCACGTCCAAAATTTATTAAAAATATATGTAGTAATGATAATAAGAAAATTATGATAGAAAAGTTATTTTTTTTAAAACTATAACACCCTGTAGCTCGAAAACTAAATCGTTTAGGACATATATTGATATAAACTTTTCTTCTTAAAATCATCCAAATACTCACATCCTGAAGAATCGCCACTCAATTAATTAACACCCTGTATTTATCTCTACTAATAATTTTTATTTGGCAGGTATCGCAATTTACTTTCTGATGCGACCGACTACGGAGATTGAAATACAGGAGAAGATCGTGTTCGGCGCGTTCTTCGCCGGCGCGATAATCTGCCTGGGGATGTCGTTTATGTTTCACACGGTGAATTGCCATTCGCAGTTTATAGGTAAATTGTTTTCGAAATTGGATTATTGCGGCATCGCCTTGCTGATTATGGGTTCCTTCGTGCCGTGGCTTTATTACGGGTTCTACTGCCATTTTCGACCGAAAGTCGTGTATTTATCGGTGAGTTTTTCCCATCCGTAACTGTGGGTTTCGTTTTCTGAACGATAGTTTTCCTATTGCAGGTGGTGTGCGCTTTGGGAATAACCAGCATCATGGTGAGCCTATGGGATAAATTCTCGGAATCGGGATGGCGTCCCTTCAGGGCTGCCGTGTTTATGACCTTCGGATTGAGCGGAATCGTGCCGGCCATACATTACGGCATCGTGGAAGGTATTTTTTCTTTTATTATACTTAATTTTACATCTAATGCAGCACTTGGGTTTCCATAGCTTCCATACCTTTGTAGGGAACATCTTAGCCTTTTTAGTACTCCATTTTAGTGCCCTAAATCATCACATCTAATGGAAGAATTCATCAGAAGAATAATCATTATAAACGTTGTTCTTCTTTAGCAAGAGTGCCTTAAAAATGATGAACTTATAGTAGTCTTCACGGCTTCTTAAGTCTTCACAGCTTCCGAAAGATGTAAAATTTATAGTTAAGATCCTAGCAATTTCATTTTTATTCTTCACAACTCCACAATGATCTATTAGTACACCAAAACATCTAAAATAAGAACTGGATCATTGTTAATATTGGTCTTCAACAAGAGCCTCATAAAGGCTTCAAAAACGATGAATTGTTGCCTTATAATATCACCCCTGGAAGTTATTTTCTTTGTTAGACTTTATTTTACATTGCTACTCCAGCACTTGGGTCTCCATAGCTTCCAAAAGATGTAAATTTTGTAGAAAATATACCAGGTTTTGTTACCTTTATGCTTCCCAATTCCTCAATGGCATATTAGTACTCCAAAACATATAAAACACAAAGAACCTCTAGGTCATTGTAAATATTGGTCTTAAACAAGAACCTCGTGAAGTCTTCAAAAGTGATGAATTATTGCCTCACGATATCCCTCCTGGAAGGTATTTTTTCTATCTTAGACTTTATTTTACATTGCTACTCCAGCACTTGGGTCTCTATAGCTTCCAAAAGATGTAAACTTTGTAGGAAATATACCAGATTTTTTTACCTTTATGCTTCCTAATTCCTCAATGACCTATCAGTACTCAAACACAGCTAAAACACAAAGAACCTCTAATATTAATTAGTCTTCTTCAATAAGAGCCTCAAAAAAGCATCAAAGATGATTGAAGCCATTGCTATTCCAGTGTCTTTACACATTTATCTTCTTGAACAAGAACTTCTCCATCGGTTGCTCTTATGATTTGCCTCAAATGTATTAAGTGTTAATTCATCTCTTTAATACCGTTTTTTAGGTTGGTTCAATTACGTCAGCCAAAAGTACCTCGGCTGGTTGATACTGATGGGAATGCTGTACATCGTGGGCGCCATGTTCTACGCGCTGCGCGTGCCCGAACGGTGGTTCCCCGGCAAGTGCGACATCTGGTTCCATTCGCACCAAATATTCCACGTCTTTGTGCTTGGCGGGGCGCTCGTCCACTACCACGGTATCTCAGAAATGGCCATGCACCGGGTGACTATCGGCCAGTGCGAAATGCCCGACTCGCCTATATATTGATTCGTATTATAGGCGATCTCTTTTGCCCGTATTCAGGAGATTTATATTAACATTATTATCATTGGTTGTATTGTTTTCTGTCGCTATTGTTGTCACACAGCTTTGGGTTATTCTTTAGACAATATAACTAATAATCGGGTTATTATTATCGTTAATTATGTTTCTTGTGATGATTGTAAAATTTTTTGAATATGGGCATTGGGGTGGTGTTTTTTTGTTGAAGGGAGGGGTAGGAAATGAATTATATTTCGAGTGTATAATGTTTAAAAACCTAAGTTTTTTTCGGTTGATATTTATTAACTAAACCAAATACAAGCATAATAAGGATGATAAAATGCGCGGCTGTTTTATTGATTTTGTTAGTTTTTATACAGGGTGGTCAAGTAACGTCACCCCGTATGTAGAAAGGTTATAATGCTTGATGTATTCCCCCTGTTGTTGCAGTATTCGCAGCGGGAATCGAGTACTTAATGTGTATTTTAATTTTTTTTACGTTATCAAAAAATAAATTCGTAAGGTATTTTTGTAATAATCGAGTGATATGCTAACATACAATTTTTTATTTTGATTCGCGTTTCGGAAATTAAATTGAATTTTTGTATTTAAAAATCCATATTTGGTGCATCCAGTATATTAATTACTCGTTTTATGAAGAAAGAATTGTATCCAGTACTCAATGTATTTCTTATTTCGCACTAACTTCTCTAGGTATCGCACTAAATTGCTTTTTTCATAAAATTTCGAAAGATCCATTAACATTTTTTTCCTTTCTCTTGATGAAACGAGCTTGTAACTTGATATACTATTTTTAGAAATTATTGGTGGGGTTTTTTAAACGCATTTTTTAATTTTACTCCCTCACGATTTGAAGACAGTGATTTGTTTGATAAACAATCTGTAAGTATTTTAAAGGTGTTTAAAATTGAATTCTAATACTGAAACAAGACTACTTATCATTATCAATAATAAAAAACATATATTTTGCTATTGTGTAGTATTATTGATAGAATTTTAAAAAGTACAGTAAGTTTTATGATGTGGGAATTTTAATTTTATTCGGTGTAAATCAACTCATTTAATTAAGTAATTATAAAATAACTACGCTAATTCAACAAAATTGCTAATTGTATTCTTAAATAATATCTTTTGGTGCTTGTTTTTTACGATTATTTTCTTAAAACGGGGTATTTTACATTAGTTTTTAATCGTTTCTTGTGATATTTAAATAAGTTCTCGTTTTCTGATGTCGCTTTATTCTCGATTTAGTATAACGCAGCGTTGGTTTTGGAACATTTTCGACTTTCCCGTTAGAAACCGATAATTTTTCAAAACTCCTGTTCTTTTCGTCACTTTGTACCTTTTTTTTCTGTTATCATTCGTAGGTTTATTTGTTTCGAACTTGAAGAATTGTAATGTTAAAATAAACTGATTAAAAATATTCAAAGTTTACGTACATTCCACCCTTTACATGGAATTTTCCAAACACTTCTATGCAATAAAAAATATTTTTCAGGGTTCAAACTGACTATTGTCAGTTTATCTTTTCGCTATTACAATTTATCATATAACAAACAACTCGAGTAACGCTCTTTTGAGGTATTTATTATCATAAAATATACATAAAATTTACAGTGAAACAATACAAAAATCACCAGACGGACAGTTTCAAACTTGTAAACACTTGTAAACACACTCAGCATTTCGTGATGATCACCCGGTTAGTTTCATCTTCGAAACTCTCGTTATAAACGCCATTTAAATCTTTGAACGTATTCAATATGGTCTGTTTCTCGGTGACAACCGGCCATTCCATCTGCTTGCTCAGCTCGCTCGCTATTTGCGTGTATTTGGGCGGCTTCTCCACGCCGCTCAATCTCGGAGCCAAGATCCTCCCCAGGAAATACTCCACCACAATATTCTCGAAGAACAAGCAACACAGGAAGTTAACCAACGCTATCCCCAGCAAAGCGTAAACGGCCTCCATAGGAGTAGTTTTCAGCTCCATGAAATCCACCATCCACTGGGGAGGACCCGCAGTCATCCAAACACATATCAGTGTAGTCACCAATAGAGATATAGTAAAAGGAATGTTCGTGTACAAAGGCTTCCTATAAGGCCTCCCCTTCGAAAACACCACGCACATAATAATATACTGGAACATCGACACCACGAACAGCGAAAAATTCTCGTAGGAAGCGAACTCGTCTCTTCCCGGGTAAACGTACGGCGTGAACCAGCTGTAGGTCTGGATCCAGTAGTACCCGGCCAGCTGGAAGCCGACGCTCAGCGTCAGAAAGGAGCTCATCGACGCGATGGGCACGAACCCCATCAGCGAGCTCCTCGGCGGCGTCCTGTCCAGCGCGTCGTGCGCCTTGGTCATGCCGAAGAACGAGGCGAAGTTCAATATCAAGAAGATGTCGATGAAGAGGTACTGGATGGACGTCAGGTTGGCGTCGATGCCGTACAGGATGATGACGGAGCTGAGCTCCACCAGGCTGTAGCACAGCATCAGCTTGAAGATGCCGAAGGAGGTGATCAGCGCCGCCCGGCCTTCTTTCACCACCTTGGGCACGCACGAGATGTTTTGGATTTTTGACGTGAAAGGCGACGCCACGCTGGATTCGGCTTCGGATAGGGATATGCCCACGTGGGCTGCTTTCAAAGCCCCGCAATCGTTTGCTCCGTCACCGCACATTGCTGGAAAAATGTACACTCCATCATTTACTAGGAAATGCAAGATAATAGGTGCAGGAAGGTATTAAAGTGAACGAGGGAGGCTGAAGGGTTGAAGCAAGAAGACCTGAAGAGGTCTGCAGGAAGGTGTAGTGGATTATATGACAGGATCATGAGGAAATAGACAATATTAATAAGCTGAATTGATGCAGAAGATATGACCTTACCGACGTAGTATTCCAAATTCTTCAATTCTTCGATCAACTGCTGCTTCTGCATGCCCGACATGCGAGCGAACACAGCGCCTTTAACGACTATCTTCGGTATTAATTCGGGAAAGTATTTGACAATGTTTCCCCACGATTTTCCGGTTACGGCGAAGCAGAAATTTCGCAGCGGCGATTTTTCCACGTCCATTAAACTCTCGTATTTCACCTACAAACGTGCAATACATTGACTATTATTTGATTCGCGGAAGAATTGTGAATATTTACCAGTACGACTGCTGATCCGATGATTTTGTAGCTAATGGCCGGTGCCTGATATTGCGAAGGCTCATCTGCGATTACTTCTATTATGTTTTGCGTAGGGTTTATCATTCCGCATTCTCTTGCTACGTGCACACCGGTTTGTAGATTATCACCTAAAGCATTTTAAAGTAACTAAAACTGAATAATTTAGACGACAATACCAGAACTGGCATAGACATCTTAGTTAAGATAGTTGAGACATCTACAGAAAGTGTCCATCTTAACCAATAGTACAATTATTCAATATATTTTTCCATCAAATCAAACTCACCGGTAATCATGACAACTTTAAAACTAGCCTTCTTCAACACATTTATAATCCCGGCGGTTTGCGGCTTCAATTTATTCTCCAGCACGATCAATCCGCAGAACTCCAAGTCGCATTCCACCTCTTCCCTGGTCATTTTGCTGGTCCGTTCGAGCGTGACTCCCGGCAAGCACCGCTTACCGATGGCTATGACCCTGTATCCTTGCACCGTGTACTCAAAAACCTTGTCCACTAGGTCGGGAGGCAGGCAGGAGGGCTTGGACAGCGCCATTATCATCTCCGGGGAGCCCTTGCAGAACGCCGTGAAATCCTGCGAGTCGGATGATTGGACGATCACGCTCATGCGTTGGAGGTTGGAGGAGAATTGGTATTGCTTGATTATGCCGATTTCTGGATCGTTCTGGAAAGTAAAATTATAAATTTATGTATACAGTAGAGTATAAGTATTCTTTGGTTGTTTGGTTTACCATTTCTGTGCCATTTGGTGCGGGGTTAACGGCGATTTGGTAGGGTTTCGAAGGATCTGTGGAATCGTGGAGTTTCCAACCTGTCGATTCGAACATCTGCAAAATATTTAATTAGAAATTGAGAAATTGAAAGTACAAACGAAGTTTACCTTGATATCCAGCGGATCTCCGCCCAATTCCCCGTTGATAAGCGAAAGGGAATGACACGTTGCCATGCCTCTTAGTATTTCCGAGGTGTAAGGAAGGGCTGTGACTTGCTTAAGCGGCGACTTTACCTCCTTGTTGTCCACAGGCACTATTCCCCACATGTCCAGTTCGTCCTCGGTTAGAGTTCCAGTCTAAATCGTGCAAAAATGTAAATAAATTGTACTTGTAAGTTATTGGGCAGCACCTTATCGAAGCAAATGCAATCCGTCGAGCCGGATACGTTGATTACTCTGGAGTTTATGCAGAAAATCTTCTTGTTTTTCAATCGATTCAGCGCGTAGAGCTTTCCTATGGTCATGGTGGCTGGGAGAGCAGGAGGAACGGCTATGGTGAAAATGTCCAGCGCTTTGATTAGTATATCCAAGCCGTGGATTTTTCTTGCGGTCTGTAATAGAATTATCAAAACAACATTTGGAAATTTTGCGGATTTAACGCTTACTTTGGATACCACAGTGTATATTACTCCTATGATGGCGATGATGAACAGGATTCCAATGAACTTGTAACTGTCCGTTTCGAATTTGAAATCCGCCGGAGGTGGGTACAAAATGCTTCGGATGAGTTCTCCTTTCGTCGTTAAATATCCTGTTCTTATCACGACGGCCAATACTTTGTCATCATCTGTAAGATTAGTTAAAAGAATGGTGAATTAATTTTCTTCCGTATCTTTTGTTATAAATGCTTCCGGATCGCGCAGTTTGAAGCAAACGATATAGAGTACTTTTTAGAGAATATTTAGAGGATTTTGAACTTATTTACTTTTATTTTTGGCTTGGAGAATTTTGGTCCCGCAAAATACGGTGTGGCTCATATTATCCTTCAAATTGATCATCAGAGAATCTTCAGGCATAGGCGTTTTCATTATAGGCACCGATTCACCTGCAACAGTAACCATTTTCCAATCGACCAAGAACAATCATCGAACAAATTACCTGTTAACATGCTCTCGTTCACCACGCATGTTCCCGTTATCAAAACGGCGTCACATTGCATTTCACAGCCTTCTTTCGGTATGACTATTAAGTCACCTGGGACTAGTTCCACCGTAGGAACCGTTTCGTAGACTTCCCCGCCTCTACACACTATAGCCGTATCTACGAAATTCACGGTTCCTCTCAAATTCTTCTGGTTCTAGAAATTCAACCAACGGTTTGAAGCAGCAAACGATAGGGCAATTTTTAGATAACAACTCACCTTTCTCGTCTGCACAATCGAGGTACCAATACCAACCACCGACATAATCACAATGGCAACGCCATAATAATAGTAATTTTCCGCCAGCCATACGATCAAACTGAACAATTGGAACATGTAGAAAGGGGTTAGAGCCTCCAGCACCAAGAGGGTCAGTATCGTTTGCACCGGCACCGAGATTTCGTTGTTGCCGTATATGACTCGCCTGAAAACGATCCGTAGAGCTTGAAGTTTGAGAAGAATTGGGTAAGTAATTACTTGACTTGTTGCTTCTCTTTGCTCTGGCCCTTGCAGGCGTGCAATTGCCGTCTGGTCACGCCTTTATCGAATCCCATTAGTTTCTCGAAGGTTTCCGTGTCATCGTCCCAAACGTACAGTAATTTCTTGCATTTAATTATTCGTGCTTGATAAAGCTCTGCAATGGGGTTTTTAAAGGGATATTAGCGAATTAATGTGATAATAATTGTAAAATTTTCTGTAATTAATTTATGCAGAAGTCCATGAATGTACAAAGAAAATAATTTTGTTGATATTTGTGAAATTATAAATTATATCGATTATTTATACTCATTTATTGTTAGATAATTTGTGCGTTGATAATAATGGTAAAATTTGCTGTGGTAAATTTTAGTAGAATTGTAGGACTGTACAAAGAAAATAGATTTGTTGTTAGCATTCGTGAAAAATAAATAATATCGGTTATTAATTCTCATTGCTAGGTAATTTGCACATGTTTGTTTGATAATTTAAAATAGCGATTATGATAATTGTTTACAAAATACAAAAAATAATAATCCATTATTTTTAAAACGATGAACAATAAAATTACTCTCGATGTAATTTATGTCATATTATTTTTGGTTCTATTAAAAGTTCATTAATTTTACTTGTTATAAAAAGTACAAACACATATTATGACAAGTGATTTACTTACTTTTTTGCCTACCATCGGCAAGATTGCATTCTAAAATGTTCTCTTCCTGGTTGGTAATACTACAACTAAATTTATTTGATTATTATTTCGATAAATAATATTACATACGCTCTTTACCTATCTAATGTTTTGATATCCTTTACAAAATACGACTTATATTTCCTGTAATTATCCTAAAAAAAATCGCGCTAAATAACCCAAATAATTTCGAATTTGCAGCACTTACAATAACTAATACTTTGTTGGCTTTCTTAAGGCTACATCTGGTGTGTGTGGCTTTTAAATGTAAATGGGGATACCAATGAAAAAACAGCCTCAATATTCCTAAAGTTAATACATAAAAAAATATCACCACGTTTCTTTTCATGTGACTGTCGATGAATCCTTGTATTTCCTAAAACAATTCCCTAAATGTTAAACACCCTTAGAAACTCAATAATTTTTTCGTTACCATTTGATCCTCTTCGCCATAATTAAGGTAATCCTTCTTCGGTTTCTTAAGGACGTTTCCGTTCGTTTGTCGTTTACTTTCAGCTATATCTGCGAAATACAACAAAAATCCCGTCTGGTATTAACTGAAGAATCTTCGATGATTTTATGAGATTAAAGAGGTCGTAAATAAAACGGCGGACATTAATATAATTTAAAAGTACTAAATTAACAGACAGACTGCGTTAGATAGGTAAGTGTTGACGTCACGAAAATAGGGTCACTTGTTTCATAAACTGTCCTTGGACTTCAAATATGTCGGAAAGTGTGGCAGATCCTGACGAGCTATTATTTATTAACTGTAACGCTCCTCTTCCTGATACGGTAATGGCACTCTAAATACAGGGTGATGGATGTTTCTCCTTTACTTTACACGCAAAAATCTCGTTCTACGATCGTTATCAAGCATTCATTTCTGATAAGGCTTAAGTACATGGGCGACTAACAGGTTTTTTGAATTTAGAGTAGGTATTCTCAAAGTAAAAATTTAATTAGATGTTTGATAGTTTCCTCGACTATTGTTAGTTCCCTCGTAGTGAATAGAGGGTGAGAAGTTTAATGCATTTTGAGGTCAGTAGGTCTAAAATTTCGTCAGCAGTGCAACTGGATGCACATCGAATAAAGGGGAAGCAACAAGGTCACTACAAACAGGAGGTCATCGCGTATATTCCGTATTGCATATTAGCATACCGCACCGGTATCATAATTAATAGATAATTGCGTTATTATTGAAATAATTGCGGGCCATTTTCGGTTAATTTGCGTTGTGATGCAACGGGTCAGTATTTTCCTATTCGATGAGCCTACGTAAAGGTTTGTTTTGAAATTGAACTTCGAATTGTCTTCAGAACTTAAAGCAATTATAGGAAAATTCGTATAAGTCAATTATCAATTTTATATATTCAATATACCAATTGACGATACCTACATCTCGGAATTATTTAAATAGGTGTGTAAATTTATAAGACAATTTTAATGGTAACATTTAGATATATTTTTATACATATTATATACTTATATAAATTGCTATTAGAATTGATCGTATGTTGCTATATCTATCGGAATCGAAAGTTATGTAATAAGGTGAATCGATTAATTTTTCACTTTCTAATATGTAGATACGTTATTTACAAATGTTATTTACATTATACAGTGTGTGCATTTTAATTGAAAACTTTCGGAAAAATTATTAAACGATATTTTAAGGAAAAACTAAAATATTCTGCTTAATTTAAGGCCCAAAATGTAAAATATTAGAAAATGATTACTTTTTGTGCAAAATTATCATTGCCACTTTGCCTTTACTTAAGTAATAATTGATTGATTTTTTATGTTACTTTATGCTACTTTAAGATAAAATTATTAATTGACAATGAATAAGCTATAATTAAACAGGTTAGGTAGGTACTCCAAAATTTTTATGAATGAGGTTTAATTTTTTAAATGAGGAATTTTAATATTAATACATTTGGTTCAAATTATATTTTAGTTATGTAAGTATATTATTGCACAAAAAATGTCGATTATTCTGTAAAACTATAAATACAACTCGTAAACATTTCACCTTAAAAAATGTAAAATTATTTGTAATAGCGGAATGTTCAAGAATGTAGGTATACCTTATAACAATACTTATTGATAAAATTCCGCGTTACAAAAAAACATTAAAAAGAAATTTGCGTATTATCAAACTTACTAAAAAATGTTATCTACTAAAAAAATTGCTCAGTTAACTTTAAACGAGTAGAAATTTGTAATTATCATTCAAATAAGTTGATCAATTTCAATTGATAGATGATAAATAGATAACGGTAAATATTACACAAGTTGCATGGTCAAGTTTTTATACACAATAAATTTATTTAATCCATTCTATTTATATAATATTTTCTAAATTATGAAGGTCGATTTTCATGCTATAAATAATGAAGATTCGATTAAAACTATTAAAAGTTTGGGATTTTTTAAGTTATTAATTATTTACTTCCATTTTTAATGCAATCTTCTACATTTTTTTTCCATAAATACAGAAATGGTGAAGTTTTCTTATAATTCACATAGAAATGAACAATTTTACAACGACAAAATAAATTTTCATATGTGATAATATACGTTGAATTATTATATGAATTTAAAATTAATTAAACGTTATTTATTCAGGATAACGAAATTTTTTTTCGTATTAATAACATTTTCTGTAAATCACCATAATAGATAAGTTAATAAGTACACTTATATTTTCTGCTAAGGTTTCTTTTGTTGTAGTTCATAATATAAATCTTATCAAAATCTTATAATTTTCAAATTAATTAAAATTGAAATCCATTCAATTTGATTGGCATTGAATCAATTTGGATAGAATTAAAGATTTGCAAAGAACTTTGTTTTATTGAATAAAATGAGAAAGAGTAAATAGCTTTGTATTTCTGATGCTAAATACAAAAAAAATCAAAAATTATTACTTGATACAAATTTTCCAGTTCCCACGAACAAAGCAAATTTATCACCGTGATTTAATGCTCTAATCGTGTCTCAATTTGTTTGTCACGATAGGTATTTACTCGAATATAGTAATTATCGTTCATTGTTACTAAATTAAATCATACCCAACAAATCGCCCTCCGTGACAACCAATTAAACAAATCTTCGCCCAAATACCAATTTCCATCTAAAATCAATCGATCTGAAACGGACTCACCTCGATTTTCCAGGTTTTCCCACATGCCTGACTCGCCTAGCAGGAGCAGGTGTAAATGATCTACCGACGCTCGATCGAAAATTCACTGATAAATCGGTAAGTATTATTACCCACCGCGGATTGTGTAGCACTCGCTGGTGTCTCGCCGAATGCGGCAAGTAATATCATTCGCACATTAACATAATCGCTCGGGTACCTACTTTGTTGTAATTTATTTGGAGGAATATTCGTTTGAATGGATTGCAATGCGAGATATCGAAAGGAGAATGGTTTATATTCGGAATTATTTCTAGGTAGGTACTGTCTTCGTAAAAGTACCCAATTACTGCACTAATGACTATGCTCTAATGAATTATGTATAAAACAATCGAAGGTAATAGTAGTTTTAAAATAAATAGTAAAATGCATCAAAGATAAAATTGTGTTTTTTATTTATTTTTGTAAAATTACTGATTCAAGGAAATCAAATTTGTAAACTCGATATTTACTCTAAATTCCACTCTATTTTATTGAAATATTTATTGCACGTTGAATAATTGTGATCGCTGAATGTACTTAGTGTGCAAATTTACGAGAATAAATTACGATTCTGGTTTATTATTTAATTAATTGAACATCAAACATTATAGTTACATTATGGTAGGTAGGTGTAGGTACGCAAAATCCTATTGAATCCACATTCATGCGTGTATTGTGAATTCGAATAAATGGAAATCCAAAAACAAACTTAACCTCCTAAAGTAAATATCCTTTCTGTAAAAAAGTACACAGGAAAAAATTTACACAAGAAAGTACAGGTCTACGAATTTACCATGGCACCTGGGGAAAATATTTTCTGCGCGAAGTAAGGGTCAGTGTGCGACAAGGATAGCATTCGGAATAGAGAGATGGCTATACAGGTAGTGAACGTAGTCGCATTTTACTCGACACTTTGCATTAAACGGACTCAGGGGTAATTGGGATTTTCGAATGCAATTATAAAAATTATTTAATACCGTTATTTATTAGAGATTAAATTCAATTAGCTTACCTTTATTGAATGCAAATCTCAATATGTTTTGAATGTATAGAAATTGTAATTCGGCGATGTTAAATTAGTTTACTAAGAATAATTATTTCGTTCGCATTCAAGCCCATCAATTTTAAACCGGATTAATTAAATATCAATCAAATATAATAATAATAAATCTTAATATTAATCTTATACGGGGAATAATGAATTATTGGATTTATAGGAAAATAACATAACAATGAAAATGGGTTTTTCAGAGCCACGAATCTAAAATTTTAGGAATTTCGCTCCCTTAATACGGCTCTGTGCTTAGATGTTTAAGCGTAAGACGGTCTGAACAGAATGAGTGCGGAGCGTAATTTAGGGACGAATCTACGGCGCATCTAGGGGGTGGAGCATCTCAGGTGCCATGGTAAATTCGTAGACCTGTACGTGGATCCTTAGGTCCTCAATAAGAAACGAACATGTTTACTATAAATACGTATTTACTAAAGTTTTAATGGCATTTACAGTTCACCAGAGTATGCATTTATTTTTCGGATTCATTTTGCTATCAACGGGACAACGGAAAGCTTCAGAGAACTCGTCCATATTGGAAACGACTCCGTTAACTCTAAATTTCGACGGGGAATGATCGTCAAACTTCTTATTTTCTAAGAAAGATCGCGAGGGGTTGTTGCACCACACCTACAACAAAACAAATTAAATATCATTAATCAATACATAAATGTTTACAATTATTAATTGGCGAAAAAAATAATTATACGCTATTTGAAGCAGTACAGGAATTTTATGATGTTTTCCTTAATTTACTCGTGCTCTATTTTCAATACAAAATTAGGTTCTATTACAATCTCCTGATGCCGAACGGAGTATGTACAGAAATTTGTAATAATTTGTAATTTTTGTTTCACACTTACAGTTCCAAATCCAATAAAGAATAATTGATCAGGCGTGAAATCCGGATGTTCATCGAAGTCCTTGTACTTTTTCAAAAATTGTTTGAGCGCGCTGTATGCCTCTCTCAATCCTCCATTATCGGCTAAATTTTCATTCAACGTATTCGTACCGTTCACCTGGAACAAGATTCTTCACTTAATTTGCAAAAAATAAATGAAACGATTCAGGTATTATACTATTAGTCGGTGGTAAATTGGGTGCAAAAACATTTCTACTAGAATATATCCCATTTAGGTAAATTGGATAGAGAGTAAGAAGAAAGTTTTGCACCCAATTTACACCCATCTTCATACGTTTTCGTTAATTTCAGGTACATAAAACCCGTTGTATTCGTCTATGAAGCATTTGGTTTTGTTAGCAAAAGCTGCCGCAGTCTTCTCGGTCCACCATTGGGATAGCGTTCCTTCTGGACCATACATCATACCATCTTTATCGAATCCATGAGTCATTTCGTGGCCAATAATAGCACCGATCCTCGCGTAATCCAGTATACTAAAAATAATTAAGTTAAAGAAATGATCGAGTATCTGAAAGTTAATGGTTTGTAATCGGTAATCACCTGTTTGCGTTTCCGAAAAACACCGGGTTTAACATCGATATCGGAAGAGCTGCAATATTAAATTTATTATTTATTTACTTCACCTACTGCAAATATTGCTTACTCATTTTATTGTTCGGTCTGTTGTAATAGGCGTTCACTTCGAATGGGGATTTATCCCAACTGAAAATTAATTGCTCGAGTTAGTACAATCTGGCAGTAATTGATTGACGCGCGTTAAATGCACTCACAAAGCTCTATCTCTTTTGGCGATTTGCGAAATTTGATAGGCGTTCTTGAAGGCTTGGATCCTGAAGGAATTCCCGTAGTTGTCCCATTTGCAGATGCGCAAGTTTTCGTAGAATTTATCCAAGGCCTTTCTATCGGCCGAGATGTCCGGATGCGCCAGTACTGTGATCATGTTGTCGAATTTCAACAAAGCTTTGCTTTTGGATTCATCGTCCATCCAAGTCGTCTGCTCGATGATTTTTTTAAACGCCTTGTGAAGAGCCTCGATCAATTCCAGGATCTGAAAAATAATTCATGTGCTCGATTATCTGTTTTGTAACATGATAGAAATGTTTCCAAACCTTACTAAATGAGCTTGACAATTGGAATATAATTCAGAAATTGGATGAGCGGAAGCAAAAATTGAAATAAGGGGAGAGTATAGGTTGAAACTAGAGATCAATTCAGATTCATCTATTGAAGGGTGAAGATAGCAAGATTTCCAGTGATGTAGTTGAATTTTCAGGGCGATATTTTCAGAATTTTTTCAATATAGATAAACAGACCTCTCCTTTCTTTGACTTTTCCCATTTTTCTTCCATATTTGCGTTCATTTTCAGACACCAAGCTACATTTGGTGAGATATAATTCTACTAACTAATTGTGCAAACAACTTACTTTTCTAAGGTTATTAACATTGTAATGTCGCAATTGGTATTCATAAGCAACAGCAAAACTCAAACCAGCCGTTCCAACGGCATCTATGATTTTTCTCGTGCAATATTTCCATCTAAAACACGTTAATTTATACTCGTACGTGACTAGAAAACCGGCATATTACCTAGGAAGAATAGTAAAATTCATGCTCCTAAAGTAATCATCCATGTAACCTCTGGAAAGGGAATCCCCGTCGGGCGATAAATGCGTGAAAAGCCTCATCATAACGTAACTTTTCACGACGTGATCTTCGGTTTGCTTCATCAAATTCACGATTCCGTACAGGAATTGGGCGAACGATTTGTAAGTCATCACCTCCGTGTCTCCTGTTATCGTTTTGCCGCTGTTCGCGAACAGGTTTTGCAGAAATTCAATCCAATCCCACTGGAAAAGTAAATTTTAAATTAACCGAAAATCTACTACTATCAATAATCTCACGTCAACGGTGTTGTTGAATTGCTCCTTCGTCCATTTGTTGAGTTCGTTTAATGTTAAAGTGGTGTTTTTGAAGTCTTCTATAGTAATATTTCCAACGATCTAAAAGTACAATTCTTCAATGTGTGGAAATTACTCAAGAATCACTTACTCCTCCTTTAAAAACGCCTCTGGTAAAGGCTACAACTTCGGCCAGATTTTCGAAAACTTGGTCGTTTGATAGGATACTTTGGGTGGCGTTTCTGAGCTTGATCGCCATGTTTCTTAAGAAGATATCGAAGGGTCTCAGTCGAGGGGTTTTCGCATTACGTTTGGGCTTGAAGTCCTCAGCATTTTCTGCTACTTGTTGGAAAGCTTTTTCGATAAACTGGTGGTAGGAATGCCTCTGATGGGGATTAATACTACTCACATCCTTTGGAGTTAAATCCACTGAAGTCAGGGGGGAAATCTGCAGATGATATACAGTATAAGAGAGTATTGCGGGGAATTAGAACACACTTTACAAATAGCAAATTTTTAGTGGCATCATCCAAATCCGTGTAAGCTAATACATCGAACAGCATGGGAATCCCGTATTTACTGGTGGCAGTTCCGACGTCTCGGAAGTCGTATTTGACCATCATCTTTTCTAAATGCACTTGTACTAAAGGGAATCCTCCCTCAGCCTCGACGATGGTCATCTCTGGGTTTATTACTTTGTTCAAATATTCGGTATCCTCGCAAGCTTTGAAGGCTGATTTGGATTTCTTCAAGGCGAGAGGATCGTCCTTTGCGTCCGGCTGCGAAAGGATATCTAAAAATTGTTTGTAGTAAATGTTGTTGATTGATTTGAATAGCATGTAGGGAGGTTTTTACTGTAGGTTATTTCGTCGATTTCTTCTTCCAGTAGAGTAAATTGGTCCACGGTTGAAGTGTCGTTGTTTAGAGGATAGATATTTTTGAAATTCCCGCAGCAATATTCGTAGAAATCGTCGCAAGGATCGATGCTGGTGTTCATGTACTTTTGTTCGGGGAAAACTGGAAAACAATTTTAATTGATGCTATAGTAATGCAAAATAATAAAGCATGTACATACATATGTATAATTATATGAAGCATTTTAAATTTTGGGAGTCTTCTTTAGAAAATATGTATAGCAGAAAATTATGATAGGTAACTACTTATCGAAATTCTTATCGAAGGGATCGATATTGTGAAATATTAAATTAATAGGTACATTTAGATATTGCAAACACTTTGGAGAATCAAGCATTCATAGCTTGGATTATTTTGTTATAAATAAATAGATAAATACATTACAACTTAGAGCCGGTTTTTCCCCTTTAAAAAAATTTATTAACTATCTGATAAAACAAAAATATTTACAACTACAATTTACAGAAAAGGTGGAAGACCTGTAGATAATGCATTTCTAAATATAGGTACCTATGTATTTCTTTACTTTAATTTTTAACAACTTTAAAATTTAAATTTAAATCATTTAAAATATTAAATAATAATTAAAGTTATTAGTCTTTACACAATAAGTAAAATTCCAGACGTATTATTACCGATGATAAATAATCGATAAAAATTTATAAAATATTTATTTTGTGGAAAAATTCTCGCTAACGAGAACATATTTACCGAGTCGTGTATTTTACTCGGAGTTTATAAATATTTTTATTAATAATTAGCGACTAATCTTCCTGAAAATCGGCAAATATTAAATTTTCTCTACAGATTTATTATATTTTAAAGAAAAATCGCAATGTATTATTAATGATCGATTCAATGCATTATTAATAATAAAGGAAACATGTATAATAATGTAGTATTGTAAATAATAAAACTTACTGTAATCATTGCCGCCCTGCACATTTCTCCCAATAAAAGTTAAAATAAACAATTTCACTAATAACAGTTTCATCTCAACCAGTCTTAATGATAATTTCAGAGGAACCTCCACAATAAAAAATTCAGAAAATATTCACTGACAATGTAATTTCAATCGACGATATTTCTCGATAAGATTTTGCGATTTTATATATTTATCGATTTACGAAATTAGTTATATTCTTTGATCTTTCGAGATGATTTCACTATCTAGAGTGAAATAGATAGACTATTAAAAGCCTTTAATCTTGTTTACTATAATAAATTTACGAAAATAGCTAGTAATGCACCTTCCGAACGGGCAGACCACCGAAAAAAAGTAGGTCTTTATTATGCAAAATTTGATATTTTTCAAATATTAGATCAATATGAAATTCTCGAAATATTCCAGACTGAATATTCATAACTCAATACGCTTGGTCTCACATACTTTATTATACATTATTTTTTGACGGAAATTGTTATTGAACATATTCCATTTTATATCTATTAGAAAAACGCAGAAAAGCGGGCAATATATGCTTTTATTCACATTAAGACATTCAACTTATGTATAAGTACATTAGACATCTCGAGTAAAGAATCGATATTTATTTAGCAGCAATAGTTACATTAGTAAATCCTTTCATTGTATTTTTAACGTTAGGCGGCGCATTTGATCAGAAAAACACAGGTACAATAAAAGTTAATTGATCAAAATCGATTTAATAATACGCCAAGTAATCGTCATCGTCATCATCATAGCTGTCTTCGTTTCCAGGCTCACCCAAAGCATTCACGAATTCTACAAAAATACAAACAATTCACTATAAAAACTGCAATTTTAACAACGTTTCTTCTCACCATAGAAATCTATCCGCCCATCCCCATCGACATCAACCTCTTTAATCATATCTTCAACTACAAAAAAATCCAAATTTCATTAAATCGAGCCCCATTTTCAGTAGCTTATATCCTCACTTTCTTCCTCCGACAAATCCTCCCCCAAACACTGCAGCACCGCCCTGAGATCCGAGGCCGAAATGTACCCTCTATTATGTTTATCAAACACCCTAAACGCGTCTCTAAGTTCCTTTTCCTCCTCTTCAAGGGATATCGTGTGGTTGGGATCGCACCCGGAGCTCGCTGACCAGGCGATGTCCACGAATTCTTCGAAACTAACGTTACCATCACCTGCCATAATTTAGTTAATTATTACCAAAATTATTACCAACGCCTATGGTGCTACCTGGTAATGGCGAAAGGAGTGTAGTCGCTTTTACAAGTAAATTACACAATAAATTCATTCGTAAAATAGCAAAAAATGCTATATTAATATTGAAATTGCAGCAACCAGGAATACATAGAACTGAATATTACCAGACTTTCGTATTTAACAAGCAAGGAATAGAAGAAGAGACGTTGATAGAACAAAATTTTACCATCAATATCGACCTCTTGAAGCATCTGCTGGAGCTCCTCGGTGCGAGCAAACTGCCCCAGCGATCTCATCACCCTGCCGAGTTCCTCTTTGGTGATGCTCCCGTCGCCGTCTTTGTCGAATAGCCTGAAAGCCTCGCGGAATTCTGGAAATATTACCACCTTAGTCACCTCTATGAATCTAATTGGAGCGGTACCTTTCATCTGGCTGCGGGAGACGGGCATGTTCCTGACGGAGAAGCTCTGTCTGGGCCGGTCCCCGGGCTTCGGAGGGGACTCGCCGTCGGGGCCCTCGACGGTGATGTCGTTCGGTCTGGCGTCCGGAGCTGCGGGGACGTTTTGGCAAGACATGGTGGTCCTTAGTTGGCCTTCGGATGGAGGCGGTTGCCTTGTCTGAAACGGGGATCGGGCGGGTTAGAACGAATAGGACGGAGTAGTGAAGATTCTCACCATCAAGTCTTTGATTTGATTGACCAGCGGCGAGCTGGAAAAAAAATTGTTGACGGCGGAAAAAAATTTACCCTCGAACTTCGCCACTTTTTAGAATTTTTAGTCCGGTTGCGAGGAATACCTGCGAAAATGGAACGCGCTCGTTACTGTCAGTAATTTCACTAAATTCTGTGTGATCTAAGCTAATGTTTAGTTTATATTTGCTTCCGAGTTATCAGCTGATAGACACAAAAATTATACATATTATTATACTCGGATCAAAGTTTAGTCTATACAAGATTGTTTTTATAAAATGCATTATATTTTCGGTTGCGAAATCGCTTTTTAATCTGAAATATTTTTGCGAAATTAAATATTAAAAGAATTTCTTACTTCGCACTTCTCACGCCTCCGTTTTACACAAGAATGATATCATTATTTCCTACAAACAACACATGGGGAACATTCGTTTAAACAATGTTCTCATAGAAAAATAAATTTCTATTACACAAAACAGGGTGTACCATAAAATAGAACGATTAAATACTCTGGTACAAAATAAATTTTTAGACCAAAAATTTTATATAAATCACACTGTATTATGTAAATAATTTTATGTGGTAAAAGTAATCAAAATCCTCTCAAACATGTTGCAATTAACTTACTTGTAGCGCGTGTTGTATATAGATAAGTATTTTGGATTTTCCCGGGAGTCCGGTAGGAATATATTTTATATTTTTTTATTAAGGCTTGTGTTTGTCTCAACTTGAACTCAAACTTTGAATTATTGAATATTAAAAGTTGAGAGATATCGATTCAGTAATAAGAAACGTGATTCTATTGGAAAGAAGTGTATTAGGCCCGCTTTACGTTGCAACATTTTTATTATCAAATTTATCATCGCTTTTAATATAGGTTTTTCAATAAATCAATTCGACTTTTAAACATATTTATAGAACAATAGAAGTTTTTAAGCAAATAAGCAATATTTTTAATTATTCTAAAATTTGTAAATACAGAATTAACTGTTTTTTAGTCACCACAAGTTTGTTATATTAGAACAAATTGAAAATATATTAAATAAACTTCTATTAAATCAGTTAATTATTTTCATAGTTTGCTGAAAGTTGCTGAAAAACCATAATTATTCACACAAATTATTACTATATTTACAATAAATTATTACTAGATATACTAAATCTATTACTTCTAAACTTTAATACCTAATAATTGTAATGAGAATTTACCATTTATTTGTGTGCTAAATTTACAATTAACATTCGTAATTAAACCATGCAAACAATAACAATTTTATTAAAATGTATTGTTTAAAATGATTTGTACGTGTGTAATCAACAATACTGTTAAACAATCAATTACACCACATTAAGAGAAAACTACTCGCACTTAAGAAATGAGAAAACCCAATTTACTTACAAACTATGCTAACATATGCTAAGCGGCCGCAATCACTGGAGGTTTCATTCACGATTTTCGAGTAAACACTGAACAGAGGTGTGTCGGATTTTCAGGGATTTCTCTCCCCCACCCGCACATGGCCAAAAGGGCCTTCGACAAATTCACATCCACTCGGTAATCTAGTTTTTAAATAAATTGCTCGCGAAATTCTGATTCGGGTTAGTGTCCCGAGGGCTTGTTTAATTTTTTCGGTTTATTTCGATTCCGTTTTTAATAAAGCGAATTTTCCAACCCCAGAATCGGATTGGCCTAAAAACACCAGGGCAAAGGAAAGCCCGCTATTCGAATAGAAAAATCCTAAAATCGAATAAATGCGCGCCTACAGATTGACAGGGATAGCTAAAGACGCTACCTGCGCGAATTTTCCCCCCTTTCGAAGACCACTAGATTACTTTTAAACTAATTAATTGATTGTAAATTTAACTTTACTATTATTGTTTGTAAATAAAGTACTTGTTTCATATTTTTCCTATGTAACAGTATTTTAAATTCGTGTTTTTATACTTACTCCAATCCTGTCGAAAGCGAGATGATGATATTGACGCATCCTGGACCAAACTACGCGCTTGCGTTACGCCGTTTTTGTACTGATCTCGTTCAGTTGTTGAATAAATTGGCGTTGCCAAGTCGACGATTTTTCTTGTATCTTCTGATACACCGTGAGATTCCTTCGGTGATTTCTAGATATTAGCTGTAAAATTCGTACATGTGAAGTCTAGATTTAGCAACGTCGCTTTAATGCTATCAGGAAGAGACGATAAAGCTCGTGAAAATATACGAATCGTGAAATGATTTGAAATTTTCTGACGACAAAATCGAAATTCTATTAGGTTTATAATAGACTTCGTTGGTTCAACTACATACAGGTATATTCGATCTTGTGGAATAACCAGTAGATTTTTTATCTACTGGTTAGATCTTACTGGTCTACTGGTTTTTATTTACTGGTTATTTATAATCAAGTTTTCGAATGCTTGCAACAAATTATTGAGATCAATCACAAACATCACGAAACGAAAATGTACCTACCTTCACCATTTCTATCTCACTTTTATATTCATGGTGAAGAGTGTGCTCGAAGGAACTGCGAAAAATAAAAGAAAATCTCTGGGAATATTTTTCCATAAGTCAGTAGACATTGTTTAAATGAATAATGTGCAGGGACGTATTCGAACAATTGCTGTCCGAGGAAAGTAACAGGTTAAATTCGCGAAAAGAAGTCAATGGAAACCTTTTATAAATGGAGCTTCCCATCATGCTCAAAGTATAGGAATAATATTAATCATACTTCGAAGAGTTTAAGAAACTTCTTCATTAAATTCAGGGAGTTACAGGAGGTACATTTATAATTATTGTTAGTTTTTGTATTAGGTCTTATACTTTCTAAAAGAAAGAGAATTTATACATAACATACAAGAGAATAACACACCAGAATTCCACTAGAAATATACCAATAAGGTCCTGGAGCAATTCCCTCCAAACTAGTGGTATATTATTACCATTTTAAAGAAAAATATTGGTTGTTTTTTTCCAGGGAACACTTGCAAGAATCACAATAAAATTTAACGACAAGTGATGAACAATCACAGGGCGTTTAGAGATCTGATTGAATTCGAATGTTAGTGACCCTACCATGTAACATTTTTCCATCTTACGATTTGCTTTAGTAATACAAAATTATCGAACGGCCGACGACAAAGCTCTAATTTAGTACTGTAAATACGCCAGCATTCAATTTTAATTGAACTTAATTTGACGTCTCATTATTCAATTAGAGAGCGTTGCGGAGGAGCATTCGTTCATATGGGAAACGTTTCTTGGATATTTTTTTCTTTTGGATTTTCCATTGTCGAAATGGCTAGATGACCAATGAAGTGAAGAAATCATTGATTAAAATAGGAAGTTGGATGATTGCCTGCACATTATTGTCTCTGGGATGTTGCAAAATATCATAAATGCACATTTTAGTTAAATTTGAAATATTTTAAAATATAGCGAACGATGTTATTATGCGGTAAAATTATCCATTTCGGAATAGGTAAATTGATGAAGAAATTAAAGTTAACTATTAAAGCAACATTCTTAAAACTGATGAAACATTTCAATAATCCATGTGATTAGTTTTTTAGGATGCAGCAAATCTGCGCTACTGACCCCTCGGCTGACCTCCCATCCAGAAAAATCCGTTGCAGCGAAATCATTACATTTAGTAATAATAGGAGCAATGGAACATCTTCCTGTGCCCCCACGTGAAGCCCTTCGTTGCGCATGGCTCTTCCCTGATCGACCTAACCGAAATAGTGGCGTGACATGCCGGCATATCGCCCTGTTATTAAAGCGACAAGTCGCTCGAAGCAATAGAAGTTCAACTCCGCGTTGGTGTGATATTATTTTATTCCATTATTATCGCGCTATAAACGTACGTAGATACGTTTTGCTGTTGTTGTGGAATTAAAGAAGGTGAGAAAATCGTACATTTCAAAAAAAAATCTTTTGAAACTGCATTATTCCTTATGGAATGATTGGTTTTAGAATTGCTTTTTTTTTAACCAAATTACATAGTGCAAAGTTTGTGAGGTACAAAAAGGGTTGGTTAATATACCTAGTTTTTATTAATTAATTAAAAAATTGAATTTTCTTTACTTTACAATTTACAATCAACAGGGACGAAATATAAAAAAGTTTTTTACACCTGTATCCAATGGAATTCAATATACATATTTGTTGTATTTTATTAGTTTTATTCAATGCCGAGATATTTAATGCGGGGGAGATTAATTTCAATCGATTTCTTTCAATAAAATATTTAAAATAAATCGAAAATGGATGCGCACTAAAGCAATATGGAAAAATTTGAATGCCGGCATTTCTAAAACTTTAAATATTTACTGGAATAGATAATTGTAATCAATTATGGTAAAAATAGTATAAAACCTTGATTTGTAACCTAGTACTAGGTACTACTTTATATTTATCAACATATTAGGTTGCAAAGGTGCGTTCATTTTGGTTAGGAGGGGAATATTATTTATTTCAAATGAATAAATATGTAAAGTTTTATATACATTACATTGGTACTACAAGTCCTACTGAAAATAATTACATATATTTATATACTATAATAACTTTTTCTTATCAAGTAACATTTCAATTTTTAAAACGGTTTTCTATAACACACCGGGCGGAATAATTCTACTCCAGTCCGTATATTTGATTATACCTGCATATAGGCAAACTCTAATCGATCTCACCATATTTACAAATTGATAGTAAATATTTTTTTAATTTCAACATATCTAAAATATTAATCCATTGCACGAATAATAAATAGTTATACCGTATTTTCAGAAAGCCGGCAAAATGGTAGAGCAATTTCTAGGAAAGAAATACAAACTCTCTTCCAGCGAAAATTTCGATGACTTCATGAAGGAACTGGGTAAGTCGACCACTTTTACACACATTTTTCAATAGAATTCATCACACAAAGAATATAAAGATAACATATTATAACCGACTAGTTTCGACTTGCGTATCCACCATCAGATCTGAAAATATTTGTTAGCTACCCAAACTTAACTATGTTGATATAAACCGTACTGTATAGACAAGGTTTAGCCTATGTCCCCCTATATACATATTACATAATTATATTGTATAGGTACATAAATCTATTGTTCATTAATTGGACCATGATCAATGATCCTTTATAGCTCATGATTCATAGTCTATAGTCCATTCGCGCATATGTATATTCCAATGACCCATGATCTTCTATGATGGTTCATTGGCCTATAATCTATGGACTATAGGTGTATACAGCATAAATAACTCATCTAAAAATTACTTTAACACCATAATCTACTGTATTTCTGTATTTCTACTGTATTTCAGGTGTTGGTTTCGTGACCCGCAAAGCTGGAGCCGCAGTTTCCCCTGTGGTGGATCTGCAGAAAGATGGAGACGAGTACGTTCTGTCGTCGGTTTCGACGTTCAAGAACGTCGTGGTGAAATTCACGCCGGGAGTGGAATTCGACCAGGAAACGCCCGACGGGCGTAAAGTCAAAGCCACCATAACGATCGATGGGAACGTTCTGCACGAGGTGCAGAAGGACGCCGCAGGAAAGGAGACCACCATAGATAGGACTTTCACGGAGGACGAAATCAAAATGGTAATTTTTTTGAGTTTTTTAGTAGCCTTTTTCAACTAAAATGGGACGGGAATAGCTGGAGACACGGTGAACTATACGCAGTGGTTAAAGAGAAATTAAAGTATTTTTTTTTGTTGCAGGTAATGTCTTGCAACGGCGTTACGGCGACGAGAATCTACAAAATACAAGGTTGATTTATGGAAAAGTATCCGATTCTATCGCATTGCACTGAACCAGTTATTCGATTAAATTCCAATTAGTTGTATGTATATTTTAAACCTTATGAATTTTGTAAATTTTTCATGTATGGGAAATAAAAAATAATTCGATGAGCAAATGCGGATTTTTTTCGTGATGATTAAAACTAATATTTTTAAAAAGGACGATTCCCTGGGTTATATTTCTGTTTGGTTGACAAATACTTAATGGGAAGATTAGCCCTTGCATGTAAACATTTTTGAGTAGCAACTTGGAAGACAATGGATCTTTTTAAATGTAAATAAATACATTTAAATATAAATTCTTATCTTTTTGTAGCATTATTAAAATCTCTTTATCATTTATTAATATTTAGTTATTTCTATGTGGTATTAATTATTTTTGTTACGGAATATAGAAATATAGACTTTGGAATTCGCGAAATATCTCGTAAATTACCGGATTTGCGTAAATAACCTTACAAAAAAGTAAATCGGTAATTATAACTTTACCCATTACATTTATAATTACAACAATTACCTCATTAATTGTTTTTACAAAAAATTATTATATTTTTTAATTCATGTGTTTTTCAAATTTTTAGAACATGCACGAATGATTATGTAACAGCCTAAAGAGAGAGTAAGAGAGTTTGTGTTTCATTGCATTACAAATTACAGGGTAGCCCTTTTCAATAGGTTATTAAAAACAGTTTTTTTTAGAAAATAATAATATACAATTACCTGTTGGAGTTTTGGTAAAAATGTACAAATAATACGAGAATAATTCGTTAGAAATAATAAACAATATAAATTCCGGTGCACTTATCAACGTTTAGAATGTGTACCCGACTATGACATGTCGTTAAAATAAATTCAGAATAATAGGCATTTCGTTAAAATCCAATTAATTCAGAATAACAGCATTTTTTTAAATTAATATTTTTGTTAACTGTTAAATGAAAGGAACTTAATAATGGTTGGATCGGTACAAAAAAAAGCTACCAATAATAGTATTGAATATTACAAGCAATCTATCATCTATTTTTTTAAAGGGAGAATAGGTATTTAGCGCATCAGAGTTTATAAAGTATTCATAAAAAAGTACATTTTTATACCCTAAACGATTCAAAGAACTCAAAAGAACTCTACACCATTCCCCAGCAAATGAAAGTTTCCAAAAGGGAGAAGTTAAAACGTGATAAAAAAAATAAAATTGCGCATAAACAAAATAAATCAGCGCATAACCGCGTCGCGTTATAAATAAATATTTATATATTTAAAAAAATAATCGCCTTTAACCGCTATGACTACAAAGTCTGGTATCATCGTCCAGAGGTCACAGTGAACGTTTACAGTAAACAAGAATCGTTGGTCCTTAGTTCGAGCTCGAGCATCTCACCATTGCCATTAACAGACGTTTAGGTTCCTGCTATAATCGGTCATTTTCTCTTAGTTAACGCGCGTTCGCAGGCCGGTGAAAAATGAGTTTAACCGAGTTATTAGGTAAAAAATACAAATTGTCTACCAGCGATAACTTCGATGAGTACATGAAGAAATTAGGTAAGAATTTTTCGTGGTTTTATTACGAGTACAATGCGTCTTTTCTTGAGCCATTTGTTATGTGGATACTGTGCAGTGTATTTTTTAAGTTTTAATTTTTTTTATTTTTATTATGCATTTAACATTCTTAGCAAGCATTCTTTAATAATACACTCTTTAATGAACCAAAAATTTCATTTTAGACATATAATAAATCTACCTATACATATATTTATTTTATTATTACAACAAACGAGAAAGCAAAATTACTGATGAATAACAGTATTTATAAACAAATTATGATAAGAAAATTTACCAGCAAATAATACATAAACGCTACACCATTGCATCGAGATAAATTAGTCCGTGTAATGATAAAGTGCTCTAATCAGTTTTTCGTGTACCTAGGTTTAACTGCAATAAACGCATAAGTAGAATATAAAACTTATCTATTCTATTATTATACAGAGTGGACAGATAATTTCACACTAATTGACTACCCTGTAAGTCCAATATGTGTTATTTTTCCACATTAGGTATCAACAGAAACATAACATATGACTCGACGAAAACGTTGCTAAACCGATAAAGACCATTCTGATGAATAAAAACAAAGAGCCAGTACAGTTTTGTCAACGCAAAACGCAAATGCAACAAGTAAAAATTCCCAAATTCACAGAAATTATAGTCTATTCGCTATCAGGAGATAGTAATAAAATCTCGAAATAGTAAACCATTGACCCGCGCCAATAATTAAAAGTAGGCACAATTGAATTAATAATTTAATAAATAATTAATAACTTTACTTACTTTTAACCTTACCTACTTTACTTGGTAATATATTGGGTACCGATTCAGATACAAAATGAAAGCGATTTTTAATTTTATTGTAGGAAATTTTTAATTTCATTATATCTTTTCTGTATCTATTTAATAATATTCCAGAAGCACGACTATGCACTATGTTCAGGTAACTTTATCTGGTATTAGAAATGGGTCACCTGTTGTTAAGTACCCAGTATACAGAGTGGAACTACTAGAGTAAAACAAACATTACTATTACACAATGGTAAAGTTTAGGAATTTTATGATTTTTTCTTTGAGTCACTCGTGCTGTCTTTTGCATACGAAATTAATTTTCATTACTATACATATAGCGAACGGAGTATAGATTTGAATCGGTCTTATTTTACAGGCGTCGGATTCGTAACCCGCAAAGCCGGAGCTGCGGTCTCGCCCGTGGTGGATTTGCAAAAGAACGGCGATGAGTACGTTTTATCCTCGGTTTCTACCTTCAAAAACGTGATTTTGAAGTTCAAGCCCGGCGTGGAGTTCGATCAGGAGACTCCGGACGGGCGCAAAGTCAAATCCACCATCACGATCGACGGCAACACGCTGCACGAAGTCCAGAAGGACGCCGACGGGAAGTCTACCACCATAGACAGGACGTTTTCCAAGGACGAAGTGAAAATGGTAACTATTGTTCGATACTTTGTGTGGTTAAAATGTAGGTTATTGTTTAAATATTTACTCGATTTGGATTAGTTTACATCTATAAAAATCGTAGAGGCCACTTTGGATAATGTGATTCGTTACGAGCGAAAATATTTAGAAAAACTAGCAATAAACTATAATTGTTTGTAATAAAGTAAGTGTTCATTTATGAATCGTATGCGCAAGATGGTTAAAAATTATGTACTGTAATTATTTACTGTATTTTTAAGAGAGTAAAAATTTTTAATTTTTGAATACTATTTTTTGTTTACTATTTTTTATGATTCTTGTATAATAATAATGTTTTTGTTCGTAGGTACTATCCGTCAATGATGTCACAGCCACTCGAGTGTACAAAGCCCAAGCCTGATTTATGGAAAATTTATCTATTATCTAACTTTGCCTGCACAATAGTGTAGGCAAATAAAAATTTTTTACTAATTAAATTAAAATAATTTATGACTTTTTTTGTTATGTACCGGATATTATGGAGAACACAAACTGTGAATTGTGAATAAATGTTTATTAATATTCGTAGAATTAAAAATTAATGTCTTTAACTGGGTTGTATTATGTTTTGATATTTAATAGTCTTTTCCAGTTAAAGTTCTTGTGAATTGCATTCATAATTTGTTAAAATAAACCTGAGAAATATCTAAAATGCGTTTCCTGTTTGTCCCAATAATTATTGACTCACCCTGTATAATCTTTATGTAAACGTTATTTCGTTTTAAAACAATAAGTAGGAATATTATTTACCATGCAAGCATCTTGCAGTAACGCTCATTTGCCTGTTTACACACCAGCAAATTCTAAAAATAACCACTCGTTTATTTAATTTATCGAAGCAGTATTTGAGTGTACGACCAATAAAAAGAAAATTAATATTAAAAATGATTTACGTTTGTAAATATGTATTATCAAGCTAATTATTACAAAAAAAATTTGTTGTTTTGAATATCACTAATTGTGCCTTTTGATAAAATTTTATAATTCAGTAACCAAATAATCTCTTATTTATTGCATGCATGTTTTAGGGGATCTTATAAAAGAACTTAAATTACATATAAATACCTACTAGTCTTTGTTTCTCTAGTTTGATATAAAATTACACGTTTAATAAAATAAATTGTTGCTTCTTATGGGGCTAAAAATATAAATTAGCTATATTAAGCTCCTATAAAATAAAATTAACCCTTTAATTTGTATACAGAGTTTCCCGCGTAATAACCGACAAAGATCAGGGGCTTGTAGAGGGGCTTAAAATATGTTCTATAACCAAATTTTTACTTAACACAGCCAACTTTTGAATTATCGACGATTTTAATTAACATTGATGGTGTACATGACTTTATTTTTTAGCGTTTTTCATCAAAACGACAAAGTATTTTAAATAACAACAGGAATAAAAAAGTTTCTAAATGAAACCAATTGATCTCTTCTAACTATCGATTAATGCTCTCAGTACACTCATAACTTATACCAAATTTAGTTGTTTTGAGTATTACTGAGATATTATTTTTTTTAATTTGTAACTCCACTTTGAAGGCCTATAACTTCTCAAGAATATAACTTTGTATTAAGTTAAGCTAAACAAGATATTATGGGCTCCCCACAACCCCTTGCTCTGAATCGGTTCTTCTGCGGGACATCCTGTATATTTCATGACTAAGCTAGTACGGAATGTTTATTTTCTGGAAAAAAAATTGAGTAAATTACCAATAAAAATGCATCAAACTCCTCTTTAACAATTTATAAAAGCGTGACTTAATATACATCACGATATTCGAGCAAAAAATGTAAAAATATACCAATAAATGTAAAAAATGCGACTAGACGCTGGTTTGAAAGCTACATATTTTTCGAAATTCATCTCTGGTAAAGCCCCTTTACTTCGACTCTGTACAAATTGAGACTAAAAAGGCTTACCAACCATTTCGTATATTGTTCTAACGACAAAGGCAAACAGCGGTAATCGTAAAAATTCTTTGTAACGTCTAAGCAATACATAGAAAAATCCGGAAAGGCCTCGAAGCTCAAATGCGGGTAGAATCTCTCGATAAGATGGAGTTTAAGATTAGTTTTTCGACTTTCGAAGTCCAACTTGTCCTCCAAACTACCCGAAATCAACAAATATATTTTAGATTCCTTCGAGTTATTGTTACTAATATTGACTAACAATTTCAATTTTTTGATTATTAGATGAATGTCTTTCGAACCCTCTTCGTACAAAAACACTTTCTTCTCCACAGTACTGCTAACTTTCCCCTTTAAATAGAGCTCGCGATTAAAAGGCTGCAAGAAAAACGATTCCGGTATGGAATACATGTGACTAGTTACTATGTGATATTCCGTGCTACTTAATGTAGTATCTAAGCGCTGAGATAAATAATTTGTTGCTTGAATTACTCCCCCTTGATGTAAAAATCCAAACAATATAACAAATAGAAGGTTGATGAATAGCCTAGAAGAGAAGAAGCTAAAGTAAGAAAGTTGTTACTTCTTGTAGTGATTAAAAGTTACCAAATTTTAAGGAATATTGTGTTCGGTGCCTTTTTCTTAGTCTGTACAACAGATGGTACTTTTGGTGCTTCGACTAATGTTCGATCAGGTTCAGGAAATATCGACATCGCATGGAGATACACCAGTGGTACGATTAAAGGTATCAGAAATCTGGGTTCTTGATGAGGAAAAATCGAGAGGATGCCTAAAGGCACCACAAACGAGAGATTCATAAGGCATTTTATACTCCTCACAGACGGTAGTTGGCTCAACTTCCTTAAACAGCAACTAAAAATACATACACATTTAATTAGTAAAAACATAATTAAATTCTTATACTCACAGATACAAGTACTTCCCAATAGCCCATAGAGCAAACATTCCAACAACATTAAATAGCAACGGTACATTAACCAAGACGTGCAAAAATCTCGGATGCAGCCCGTGTTTAGCTAAATTGTCCAATTTAGAATTATATCTAACGAAGTTCAAAGGTGTGAATACGAAATTGTTTATCGATACATCCAAAACCCCCACCTCACCCCAAGTCAAATAACCGTAATAAAATGAGTCAAATAAAACGTTAATAATAATGGACGGAATTGAGAAGAGAATAAACACTAAAATCCTGGAATAAAAAGTCAAGGGAGCCACCGATTTGCTCCCGATGCCTCTATACAGCCAAAAGAATATGGGAATCACAGCGTACGCAAGGAATGTAGGTCTGTTGAAAAAACCGAACACAGTTATAGTACTGATAACGAAGCAGTTCCTGTACGAATCCGACACCAAATACAATCGTAACTTATGAAACTTAGCTTTATCCGAAACGCTCTTACTCCTATCGTATCGAAAGTTAACGTACTCTTTCCTTCTCAACAAAATATTACTAAAAGTCAGACTTTCGCAAACGAAATACAACAACAACGAAAACAGTATCAACTCCACGGTGTTCGAGAACGTCCGTGTACCGTATACGATGATTACATACGAACTATTCAGGATTATCAAGCGGGAATAGAACTTTTCATTATTGTTATAGCACAATTTGTACAAGCAGTGATCGATGACAAACGAAAAAATGCACACGAGCAACCTGGGCAGGACGAGAAGCATGTAGGGCGTGAGTAAAGCTCGATTAAACAACCATTTGCTCAGGAAATTGCAGTCTCTCAAAAACACATAGCCAAGCCCCACTGTAAAATACGGAATGGTCATACTTCGGATCGGTGTGGTAACGTTGAATTCCCACGGTGGGCTGTGCTGGACGTCCAAAATTTTACCTAAACAAATACATCAAAATAATCTAGTTAACTATGCTGTCAATTTAGTAGATTTATGAGCATGCTTACCCGCTAAAACTTCAATAGATTGAAATATCTCATCAGGGTGGATGAAACCGGTTTGAGGAAGAAAAACTAATAAAATTCGAACTAAAATTTGGCATTTGTAAATAACGCTTCGTGCATCCGTTTTCTTGCACTGTTTCATCATAAATTCATGTGCAATTAAATCACAAAACCCATAGAGAAATATAGAGTGGCAAAAGCATACGGATGCGCGTGAAAATAATAGAAAAAATTGAATTTGACAGATTTAATTTTGACATTGTCATGTCATTTAAGGTAGAAAAGTCAACGAAAATAATGAGATAGCTTTTGTTATGTAAAAGTTATGCCACTTTTAAATTCTTAAGTTATGACTTCAGGATATCCATTTTTTCAACGTATTTCACTGCAAAACATTAAATTACTATAAAAAATCATTAAACTGCATTTAAAATTGCTTATTATTCAATTATCTATCGAATATAATACAAATAACATGAGTTTTTAGCATAAATTAAATCATGGATTAGTGGTCTGTGAGTACTAATAGGTATATGATATTCTCTATGACAAAACCAAAATTTGTATCTTTTATTTTTATTGTAAACCTAACCTATATAAACATTAATTGACATCTTCTTTTATAGATAAAATTTAACACCTGTGGCCTTCAACATCAAAGGAAACCATTCAAATATAAATTTACTTAACAGTAACAGAAATTATCCTAATATCATCGTAAGGTTTGTCCGTTTTCCCGTTAGTCTTAACATTGCTGATATTCTGTATAACTTCCATGCCTTTGACCACCCTTCCGAACACGGTATGCTTGTTATCCAGCCAAGGAGTAGGTGTTAACGTGATGAAAAATTGGCTACCGTTGGTGTTCGGCCCGGCATTAGCCATCGATACTGTGTAAGGTCTGTCGTGTTTCAAATGGGGCCTAATCTCATCCTCGAATTCACCGCCCCATATGCTTTCTCCCCCCGTCCCGTTACCACTTGGATCCCCTGAAATAGGTTAAGTAATTAAAACCTATATCAGGTATAAATTGTATTCGATTTTACCTGTTTGTATCATGAATCCTTTTATAACCCTGTGGAATATGTGCCCGTTGAAGTAGCCGTTTTTGCTGTGAACGCAGAAGTTTTCCACAGTCTTCGGGGTGTCTTTTACGAACAACTTCATATGAATGTCTCCAAAAACGGTGTGTAAAATGGCGTTTTCATATAATCTTTGAACGACTGGGCTTTCGGCCGCAGCTAAAGAGTCTTCCTTCGATGGTTTTTCGTTGAAAACGTCCCTGTCTTGGTCGCCCTGCAAATCGTCCGGTTCTCTTCGACTGAATAGGTAAAACCGGGATTTTTTGTACGCAGTACAAATAAGAGTTGGGTCAGGTATAATAGCGTCCAGTGTTGGGTTGTTCGAAGCTTCAATTTCTAAAGTTACAGCAGCTTTGGATTTCTTCGCCGAACCTAAAAAGATTTAATTAAGACACTGAAAATGATTGTAATTTAGTTTATAAAAACCTTGATATAATGATATGTTGAGTATCCTCAAATTTTCGCCTTTGCCGATTATCCGTACGCATCTGTTTGTGTGAATGTTGATTAATTTGACACCCAATAAAGTAGCGTACATGATGAAATAACCGCTCTCGTCGAAAACTATATTGGCTAATTCGAAGCTCTCCGATTTCTCCAAATCTCGTTCGAGCGCCATCCTCCTTCCGAACTCCATGTTCGGCAAATGCTGGGTCTTCTGTTGGTGCTCCGTAAACCTGGGCAAGGTTTCATCGAGAACCAGCAACTGCATTGAAAACATTGAAATTTGTGAATTAGGGTTTGTAAAACACACTTACCAATTTTCCCGTTATAAAGTTGAACACTCGAACTCGCCTATCTGTTGAAATCGTGGCGAATTTCCTTCCATCGTTGGAGAAACTTAGGCCTGTTGGAACTGTTTTATTTTTAGCGAATTCGAACAGGTCTGTGTCTAATTTGGAGTCGAAAGCGACGTTTTTGGGGAAAATAAAATCAAGCTTATTCCCACACCAATATTCTATAAAAATAAATATAATACTACACATTGAACTGCAATTAACAAGAATATTAATTTACCTAACATTCCTTTTTTATCAGCCGAAACGACAATTTCAAATTTCTGATTGTACTTCATTAATGATACAGGATTCATGTGAATTTTTTCCAAAACCTTTATGGGTTTACCATCTTCCCTTCCATCGTAAATGTATATTTTCGAGGAATCTTTGTCGGAAACAGCTAGAGTATGTATAGGCTCTCCAGAATTGTGTATCCACTCTATTGTACCCGGAACATAATCCAACCTTTAACAAACAATTCCCGTATAATCAAAGAAAATTGTTACAACAAAATGATCATACCTTATCATATTAATCATATCGAAATTAACGACGTCGAAAATCTTCAACGATTTATCAATCGAAGCGGAACAAAGCAAAGTACCTTCGGTGTTGCAGGCAATTTTAACGATGGGGCCTAAATGGCTTCGAAAGTGCTTTACGAATTCTATTCCAGTTTCCATTTTTTTCCAAAATTTTATGTGACCATCGCAACTCGCTGTTATTACGAAATCTGTGGGGGTTACCACGCAATGCGTTATAACGTCTCTGTGCATATAACTTTTTTCGTACGATTCAGCCGATGGAAGAGCATCTAAATAAAGGTTTTCGTATTGGAGGGTTTTACGTTTTTTCGGCTTGGCTGCTTCCGATAAGGAAGGGCCCACGAAGCCCTCGGAATCGGAGTCATGGCCCGATTCTACCGATCGTTTTTTGTTAGATTCCTCCGAATCACTCATCACAATATTCACAACAAACAAATAACAACTTTCGGTAACGTTACGAATTAACCTAAAAATTTTTGACACTTAAATTGACATTGACAGTTGTTATAAATAGCAGTGATACCAAAAGTGACATAATTAATATTTAAAAAGTAATAAGAAATATATATTTTTTAAAATACATATAAATTATTCAGACATAAGCAAGTAATTAATTACATTGTAAATAATTAAGCTTTCTAATGCATTAGTCAATTAAAAAAATAAATTAGATTTTCAAAATAAAATTTTGTTGGCAGCATTGGTAAATTGACGCATGTCATCCTTTCCTTTTACAAGTGACATCGTTGAAGGTAAGTGTAGTGAGAAATATTTTTATTAAATTCGGATATATTTAAGTCATCTTTAAGGTAAATAATTTTTTAAACGCTTCAACAAAAAGTTTTTAGCCTAATTATCCGATTTCTTGTGGTATATTTAGTTAATTGTATCATGTTTTGTGTATTACTTTAATTCTTTACCATGTTGACTATTTGACAACAAACAGTACAAATCTTTTAAAGAAAGAATGATTTAATAGTAATAATTGTCGGTGTTTATCATCTTTTTTGTAATTATCCGATTTATTCATCCTGAGTTGCTTTCCTTGCAAAACTTACTAATTTTCATTAAACATAACCTATTTAATGATACACGGCACTATCACTAAATTTGCGTTTGATTTTCAGATGGTCGAGAAGAAGAAGGCCGAAACTGCGCCCGCAGAGGCGCCCAAAAAGGTCCACAAGCCTGGAAAACCTAGAAATTATGATTTAGGAAATGGCGTTATGAGGTTTTCAAGAACCAAGATGTTCCACAAGAAGGCTTTATATAAATTTATTGGTAAAAAAGTTAAGGCTACCAAGAAACCACAGAAGCCTCACGTTATCGAAAAGCCAATTAACGGAGAAAAGAACGGAGGAAAGAGATTCGTCTTAGTCAAGAAACGTAGGGCTTACTATCCTACTCAAGACAAGTAAGTTTCTTTATTTTATTATATAATATAATAATTATTATTTAAAATGATGTTGTTTTACCTTAGGACACCTCTGAATTATATTATGTGGTTATATGGTATCTGATTTAAGTATTTTTACTGAACTAAAATATAGTATGTTGCAGCGTAATTATAATTCTTTTATTAATTTTAGGATTAAGCCGAGGCCTGCGAAGAAATCCTTCTGCCAGCACAAACGTTCGCTCAGAACTACCATAACACCCGGTACTGTTCTAATTTTGTTGGCCGGTTCCCACAAGGGTAAGAGGGTCGTTTTCCTTAAACAACTGTACTCTGGCCTTCTACTCGTAACTGGTGAGTTTCTTCAACGAGTAATGGTTAATTTAATGTTAACATTGTGGGGTTATTTTAGGACCGTTTTCCATTAATGCCTGTCCGTTGAGACGTGTTAGCCAACGATACGTTATCGCTACATCTACCAAAATCGATGTTAGCGGTATTAAAGTTCCCGACACCTTTAACGACGACTATTTCGCGAGGAAACGCGTCAAGAGGGCGAAGAAGGAAGAAGGTGACATTTTCCAAACCAAGAAAGAGGTATGAGAACACTTGTAAACCCTTTAAAAAATTCTCAAACAAAAACCTTTCTGAACTCCTTTAACAAACCTAGGTATACTAGGTTTGTTGAATACCTTGAGATAAACGATTGTGTAATATATTTATAAGGTTTTCAGTAGTAATTTGTGTGTGTTTTAAGGTTTACAAAGTAAGTGAGGAAAGGAAAAAGGACCAGACGGAAATCGACACGCAGGTGATGGCTGCGATCAAAAAACACCCTGACCGTAAAGTTCTCCAAGCTTATTTATCAGCTATGTGGGGTTTGAGGTCTTCTCAATATCCTCACAGAATGAACTTTTAGATAAGATTAAATACCATTGTTTATTTGTCTTTTTGACGCTGTATGAAGTGATGAATAAATCGTGGTTTTATATTGACGTTTTTTTAAGTTAATATAGTAATTTAATGTTGAATTTGTTTTATTGTAGTGGTTATGATGATTTATTATTATAATTACACTGCATGTTGATGATGATTTGGATTAATTTTTACTGTTTGGATTTTAATTGAACTCTTCTACATATGTACGATGGTTGGCAGGCCTATCGCTCGTATGTACTAGAAAAGGAACAAGAATTCAGAGAGCATTATACATTAGAAAATAAGCAATCCTCTACGGATGTCTTGAATATTTTACCTAAAAAATTGCTATTGGAGATATGAGATTTGTCCCTTCTCTTATGACTGGCAAATTGGACCTAAAAAATGACCTTGCATTGGCAGGAACCGAAAACAACCCTCAAACGTTTGGTTTACAATAAAAACAAAACAGAGTAAATCACTTCCTACATCGCACGATATTTCATCGATGCGTAGGCGTATCCAGTAGCATCTGTTAAAATCATCGAAATTGACTAATTGCTTCAGCATGCCTTCAGAATACACTTGTTGCTCGATCTTATTAGTAGGGGAGCTTACAAAAATTAATTCATTGGCTATATCTACTTGTTTACATTTACAGACTCAAACGAGCTGTTCATTATATTTCATTATCTTATAAACAGTACAATAATAGTCTCCAATCACTTGATTATCTCTCGCGAAAATTCGTGTAAATTATTCGAATCGGGTGACCGCACTAAGCCCGCAGATCAAACGAGAATCTGCCTCTTTTTCATCTCTTCGCGCTCCATCCCGAATAATATTTTTGTTCAAACGTTTGTGTTCAATCGGCCGGCGAGAGCGATCCGCGTAGCGCGCTCCAATTAGGTTAATTGGCGTTAATTAATTAGGAGAGCCGTTGACCGGGGTGTCGGTGGAATGATGGAATTTTTGCAGTTTTCGGGAACGATGGGCGATTCGAGATTCCCCAGATCTTCGAAGGAAAAACGCCGAAAATCGTACAACTTCGAGGGCGACTTTGTTATATCGGTCAAGCAGAGGAATCAAGCCAATGCCAGGGAGAGGGACAGAACGCACAGGTATTTTATATAAAGAATTATACAGAATGGTATATTAATACATCAAAGAGTCATTTTTTATACAGGGTGAGTTTTATTTATTTACTTTTAGCGTAAATATAGCTTTCTCAACGTTGAGAACACTCATTCCCACAGAACCGAAAGATAGAAAATTAAGTAAAATAGAAACACTTCGGCTGGCTTCGAGCTACATTTCGCATTTGGGAACACAATTAATAGCAGGTATTTTATCTTCATAATTAATCTAGATTAATACAAAATTTAATAAATACATCTCGTATAGGTCCAATTGAACAACCCTGCTTAAGTTTCGTGAAAGAGGGTAGACATCAAGTGTGCACTTTCTGCATAGCGCATAAAAAGAATAACGTAAGGAATGTTTTGATTCGAAAATTATTTTACTTGAAAAATTACTTTGTAGAAATTGGAGAATAAGTTTGATTGCCAGAACTTCGAGGGGCAAATATTTTTAACGCCCGTCAATTCAACTGATGCTGATGAGTTTGCGACTTTATACTACTCTTAATTTATTTTTTGGATAATTGTATATTCCATTCGTAACAAAATAATGTACTTAAAATGTGTTATTGATATGTATTATATAAAATAAAATATACTAATAAATTTTACATCGTTTTTTTTTGAGAGAAAAAAATTGATTTAATTGAACAAAGTATAAGGGAGAGATGACTTATTTCAAGAAGATGTAGCAAAGGTCAACTAGTTGTAATACGAATAAATTGAAATAAAGTGATCGATTGTTTACCAAATCTACTCGGAGCTGTTCGGTGTTACATTTTTTCCTATTGTAAATTAATTTGTAAGAGATTAACGTATAATGGTGTAATAGAAAAGGAGCGAGAATTCAAGGTGAAAATCTACTCCTTTATTAATCTATTAAAAAAATGAATACAATTTCTTCAAATCAATTTATTTTCGATCGATTGAGGAAAACATCTTCTACATTTAAACAACGTTTTTAAAAATGTTTTCGGTATCAACACATCATTTTCTATAGCATAAAATTCACCATCGCACTTGAATTCCTCGGAATTGCTCTGTAGAAATTTATTTACAGCCGATAAGAAGTTTTTTACAGTAAATTCATCTCCTAGGTGTTCTCTCAAATTGTCTATTCGGTAAAAACTGCATATAGCCTGTAAAATACCGCCGTAATTCTTTCGGGAATTTTTGGATATAAAGTGATATGCACCCAAGTGCGTGGGATTCAACGAAGAGTAATATAAAATAATTTTGAGCACATCCGAACATAAATGCTTCGGTAATTTGGGGTAAATGATTGTTAAAACTGAAATTATATCGTTATCCAAATCCTCGTTAATGGAAATGTTACGTTTGATTTTATCCATTATAGCATTGAAGAAACTGTTATTAGAAGGGTTCTTCGAAATACGCAGTAGGGCGATCATATTTTTGTGCAAATTCGTCGAAATTGAAATCGACGTTTCGAATACATCATCAGTTTTTCCACAGAAAATTGTTAAACACTTAAAGTAACAGTTTAATAAGTAAACTTTATCATCACTTATCGATAAAGCGACTTGAAATAAAGCATTCTTGATCCTTTCCAAATTTTCAAGAGAAAACTCATTGTTCTCAAACCTTTGCACAAATATACTCAGCATTTTGACCTGACAATACTCAGGAATACAGAGAAATTTTCTATCATCTAGTACAGCACAAATTTCCTCGCAATTCGCATTCAAAAATAAGTACGGTAAATTATTATGAAACCACATGTTATTTTTATCATACACTCCCGAAGATAAAATCTCCCTAACCGATTTAACTTTTATTAACAAATAATCGAACAAATCGGTACGAATAGTATTCAGATAAGTCGTAAGATTTAACCAAACTACACGCATGTATTCCATACCATTAGAATCAATTCGGTATTTATACGATACTTCATACTTCTCGTGAAGCTCCTGCATCAACAGCGCCAAATTCGCGAAAATATTCTTCGGAATTTCCGCGAAATGTCGCGCAATATAACTCGCTATATCCGCGAAAACCGCCGGGATATCTCCAATGGGGCAAATGGAAGCGAACGACTTAACAGCCAGTTTACCGTACTGGTTCGGGTAATTCTTAATTATATGCACCAACAAAACCCGAAGGCACTCCACGATCTCGGCGATATTGTCCTCGAATAACGTCTCTTTGATGTACGATTCGGAGAAGAATTGCAGCACGATAACAGCCCGGTCATCTAGTCGTTTCGACGATAATATTCTAAAAAAGTACGATCCTATCCAAGGGTATAATACCAGGATGTCCGATATGTTTTTCGGCCTGTAATTGTTGCTTATCGATACACCATAGAGCCTTTCCAGAATCGATTTGGTTAGTTGGAGATTGGCGTTTCTAAAACGATAATTTAGAAAGATAAAAGTAAGCGAACAGAGGTTTATATACAGGGTGTTAATTAATTGAGTGCCGATACTTCAGGATGTGAATATTTGGATAGAAAAGTGTATTAGTAGAGTATTTTATTTTGCTCACCTAACGACCCAATTAGACCTGATGAAAAGCTCGACGCATCGAACAATGATGGCGGGAATGTAACGCAAAGTTTGATTTTGCAATCGGTTATCGGACATTAACAATTCAATCGTATGCAAGCTCGAGGCTGCAGATAAATCCGTGGTTTCGGGATCTCCAATTAACATCAGCAGGCGCTCCATTGTCCAATGAAGCAAAGACTAAAAGAATTTAACTTAATATTTTTATATATTATACCTTTTCGGAACCTAAAACCTTTTTTGGATCTTTCTGTGATACGCAAATAGCATGAATGACTAATCTACTTTCGGGATTCCTTCTTATTTTTATATTATTCGACTGCACGTTATCGATAGCGTCTAGCGTTTGATTCAACAGGCGCGATTTAAACAGTTTTCCAGATTCTTCTTCTTCCAGTTTTTCCAGAAGTTGCCTCATTAATTCGGCGCTCAGCGACACGGGTTTCTTCATGTTGCTTCTTTCAATAATCATTTGCAAAATAACAATTATAGATATGGGACTTAATTCTTGGATATTTTGAGATATCATAAATAACACTCGCTAAAATAGATTGATTGTTTATAAAAATAGTACACAGGGTGGTCAAATAGTGCAGATTAGTATAAGAGTTGGAGTTGCTCTAATAATTAATCTTTTTTTTCTAATCCTAATAATAAAGTGTTTATTCTGCTTTGACCAGCCTGTTAATGTGAAAAATTAATTGCCTTACGGTGATGAAAGTTTCAACGACTTTGCCGCATCTGTAGCTGATCTCAGATAAAAAATCGCTCTCTAAAATGAGTATTATGAAATCCAAACATTTTTCCACTATTTTATGCATGTGTTTTATCCTTAATTTGCGCTGTTTCGCCACAACGAGGATCTCCAGATATAAAACCTTTAAATAAAAATAACTTGAGGTACAAAACTGGAATATTAGGTAATTTTATTTACCTACTTTTTTAAATAAATCTTTTTCTTCGGGGTGTTTTGATTCAAGGTTCTTTAGTAGCATATTCTCAATTTTTTCTAATAATTCATAAGATTCTTTGGAAGAAAACTGGGTGAACAACAAATTTGAACTGTTGATAATTTTTTCGCAATTTTGCAAATTCGGAACTGATTCGGCATCTGCGAGAATACTCTCGAATAAATCCTTCGTGATAAAAGGATAATTAAAATGTTGCGTTATTAAATTTGTTAAAATTAAACTGTGGAAATTTATCCTTGAAACGCAGTTTTTAATTTCTGGAAATATCCGGTGTTGGTAATTCCGTAAATCTTCGTTCAATTTGATAAAAAGTAGATTGTCGCCTTTTTCGTAGTTATCTTTTTTCTCCAATTTGTAGATCAATTTTAATTCTCTGTAAGACCCTAAATAAAATACGTATACAAGTAAAAATTAATCCACTTTTACAAGAACTAATTTACCTTTTAAAATATTGAAAAAGTTGTATAAAACTTGCGCCCCGACTTCAAAAAATTCGCTCCTGAAACTCCTGAGACTATAATCGAATATTTTTCTAACGAAAGTGCGGTAAAAATCCAAATTTTTATCGCTCTTTTTCAAATCTGAATGAGCGAAAACTATCAATTGGGAGAAAAACTTTCGAACGCAAAGTATTTCATCATCTTCCAAGTAGCTTTTTAAGTTAGAATAAAGGTAATTTAGCAGGAAATTCGTCTCTTCCACACCAGGACAAAGCGATTTTTTTCGATAAGTCGATATTATATTTAACGCCAAATCCATGGTTTCTATTTGATTGTACATCACACTCTCGTGTTTGAATAAAACGCCATTCTTCCTCGATTCTAGCAGTATATAAGCCTTTAATCGTAATGCTACAGGTTCCCCTCGTATAAAAGTATAGAAATCGCTTTTGTAAGAATTTACAGTGAAAGGTATCCAGTATTTAATTAAACTCTGAAAAAATTCCCTAAAAAAATCAACTGTTATCAATAAATAACCTGATTCATCGTATTAATGTAATTACCCTTCATACTCAATTTCGCGCAAGTTGCTAATAAAAACAGGCCAGATTAAATTAACCCATTGTTCAAAAGCACACGATGATAAAAGCCTTACGTACAAAATACCCCCGTCCTTATTTTCTATGTGATTTAAAAACATCATCAGTACTTTCTTAGCGATATTCTCTATATTTCGTTGTACAAAGGAGTCGCTGTAGAGTTCAACAATATCGAACGTATGGACGCCTTTAACAGGCAAATTGTTTATATCGAACAATTCCGATTCTTCACAATCAATAAACTGCAATGCTATTTTGGATATACTGCATGCCAGTTGCTTGAAACCATACAAAGGCGACACCGCAATTCGGTTCATTGCTTGAATAACAGAATAGCTGAGGGCTCCACTTGAAAGTAGGTTTGTTCGATTCAATATTTGCTGAAGAGTACGTAGCAAGTAAAGAGAATTTTTATCCAGAAGATCGATGTGTTCCAGTACGAAGTTTATTATCCATAAGAAAAAATCGGAGGTACTATCTTCATTGGTGAGATTTAAAGTCTTCAGGGAATTGCACACAATGGCGTACCATAAGGGTTTGTTGTAAATTTTTATGGTGAACGATTCGATTTTAGCGGAGTTGCTGGTTAGTAATTCTTTGAAGGTTTCGAAGTCATTTTTATACAAACTTTTATAAATTCTGGAAAATACTTTGGACGCAGCCTCAATTTCCACAGGATCTAAATGGTATTGAGTTGAAGAAGTAATTAGAAGTAACGCACTGATTTGGTCTTCGATGCATGATTTTTCAACGGAAATTAACTAAAAATATTGTTAATCACGAAAATTCGAAATATTATTTATTCATTTTAATATTTACCAACTCTCCAAGCATAATTTTAGTGCTTAAAAAGCACAAATTGATATTATTAAAACCAACTTTTGAAGTCACAATTTAAAAATTAAGTTAGGTTAAGTATGTTTTGACTTTTGGCAATTCTTCTTCTTTTTATTATTAGTTAGTATATATTGTGGCCGTTTCTTAATTATAATACAAGTACTTTTGATTTTTAATTTTTTTAAATTCTTAGATAAATTTTAAAATTTTACATTCAAAAAATTGTCTATAATTCCCATCAAACGTTTGGACATAATACAGTGTACTATAAGCATTATTAATTATCCGTTGTTTTAAGAATAAAAAAACCATACCAAAACGATTTAATTTTCTTAAAAATTCTCAATATTAATCTACTTACGCAAAATGTGCATTTAGATTAAAATTACTTCATGTAAATCCCACGAATATTTTCATGCAAGAAACTTTCCAAAGAAAAGTCATTACCTATTGCTTGTCATTTTAACATCATTTTGTTAACCATCACATCAATTTTCAGTTATATTATTTTTCATCTGGAATAGCTTTTTGATCTTCAAGCGAAACCTAATTCAAACACTACCCAAACCTACAGAATGCTAGCGACATATTTAGAAAAACCCGTGGATTTCTCTTTCCAACAGATACGAAATTGCAATCCCACCGCCTTTCTCGACAGTAAGACACTTTAATCTGCTCATCCCCTTTCAAATTTTCCAAAAAACATGAATATTTTCGTTGTAGAAGTCGGGCTGGAAGCTGCCAAATATGTCAGAGTCCGGGGAGTCCCCTACAGAGGATCGAAGAACAAGTACCTAACCAAATCCCTCTGGTTGAACAATAACAAGCTGAAGAATATGAAGAATATCGATCAATTAGCCGGTGCTATATTGGAGCATCCCCATAAGCTGCAATGGCTGGATGTTTCTTTTAACCAATTAAACGAGATTGAAGCCGTAAGTACCTCACTTCCATCATCATCATAGAGAACTTATTTCAATTTCAGTCTCTAGACAAATTTCCAAATCTTAAAATGCTCTACCTCCACGGCAACTGTATAAACGATTTAAACGAAATAGGCAAATTAAAAGTGAACACGAACCTCAAGCATTTGACCCTCCACGGAATCCCATATCGAATCACCCGAGATACAGGGCCTTCGCAATAGCTCTGTTGCCGCAAGTACTTATTATTTCTCCCGTTAATTCCCGTATTTATTTATTTTTCTCCCTTTCCAGTTGATTAATCTGGATTTTACTTCGGTAACCCGGACGGAGAGGGATTCCCCCATCCGGCTGAGGCTGTAAAGTACTTCAAGGAAGTAAAGAGAAGGGAGGAGGAGGCGCTGCGCCCTCCTAAAAAGAAGAGATAGTTTAATGGTTATTTAATCTAATTGTATCAAATGTAAATATTGTATTAAGCGTGATTTTGTCAAACGTAACGCTTTATTAAAACACCGGAAAAGAAGGGAAAAGAGCGGATTAATTTAACTCAAAATATTAAGTAGCTAATTGACAGAGTAACATTGAATATAAATTTTTGTATTTTTATGGATTAATAATATACATTATAAAGCAATTTTGTTTTTTTATAGCGCTTGCTATTCAGGTTTTTCCACTTAAATTAGATATGTATCTCTAAATTACTTTACTAAATTTATCAAACTGTATGTTTAATGAGTCTATGGCGGAAATCTTTCTGAAGGAAGAATCGCAGTAAAATCGAGATTGATGACCTAAAAATTCGAAAATTTGTTTACATTTCCGTGATAAAACTGGTAGTAAAACGAATAATTTACTTGCGGTAATGTAGTAATAACGAACTGCCTGTAATTAGATTGATCAGCAATTGGATTTCCATGGATTGTTAAACTTTTTAACTTATCCAAGGATTGCAACTTTTTGATTTCCTCCAAATCGGAAATGTTGTTACCGTGCAGGTATATAATTTTCATGTTTTTGAATTTCAGTATGCACTAAAAATATCAAAAAATGTTTTGAAAGGAACAAAAGTAGAAGCATTAGAAATTACCTCATCGATGGTTTGAATTTTATTAAAAGACAAATCAATCCACCCCAATTCTTCTGGATATTCCAATATTTCTTCTACGAAACCATCCAGATTGCTCAAGCTCCGCAAATTGTTGTTACTGAGCCAAATAGATCTGCTCAGAAATTTTCTTCTCTTTCCTAGAGCCGGCCTGCAACCAACTCTTGATTCTCTCGCAGAAGACAGACCGATATCTTCAAACCCAATACAGCAACAATTTCAACAACAAGAATTAAAAATAAATAAATAACAACAAAAATATAATAATTAAATACCTCTCATAAAGGCCCCAACATTTAAATGTTGTATGTGAAACGAGGAAAAATCGGCAGGTTTTCCCGACCTTAAAATTTTACTCTCCGATAACGACATGCTTATTTTATTAAAAATTTTCACATACTGATAAGTTTCAAAAGCCGTTTCAACTAAATTAAAATGGATTTAGGGTAGAATTATAGTCTGGTCAACAACTGCAACTTTAGCCAATTGAGTGAAGGCAAATGGTTCATTAAGATGAAGGGATTGAAAAAATGATTAGGTGGATTGCCAATTTTTAATGATAAGGTTCATAAGAAGGTGTAGTACCTAAAGCTTATTGAAAATTATATTGGAGTAATTAATTAAAATTTGATTCACAGTACCTAATGCCATTCGATATCAATGTGAATAATTTTGTGTTCAAATTCCTAGTCTATCAAAATATTTTGCATTTATTAATTCCCACAATAGGATCCTAGTACGGAATACACTTACGTACAGAGCCCTACATAGTCGCTATAAATATAAGTATTTGTGCTAGTGATTGATGTTCAATCAACGCTACAATTTTTCTTATTCGAAATTTCTAGGCCATCGCAGCTCCATTTATTCGATTTTCAACGTCACAACCCAGTAATCGATATTTTTTTAAACGAATAAAATATACAAAAACGAAATATTAGAAAATATTCACGGCATTCTACACATTGATACGCGTATAAATATGCAAACGTGGACAATGTTGATCGATAAAAATACGTAGATCTCAACCCCTATTACCATATAATGAGAATTACCATACTCTACGTGCGATCGGACCGCCATTCGTTCTTTCCACTGTTAGAAAACATCGAGTCAAAATGGAGGCAGCTGCGGAATTGAGTGAAATCCAATACTTTTACAAGAACAAATCCGTCCTCGTGACGGGCGTTACCGGCTTCTTGGGGAAGCTGGTGCTGGAGAAGGTGCTCAGGAAGCTGCCGGTGAAGACCGTCTACGTCCTAGTGCGGAGCAAAGACGGCCAAACAGCCGAAGAAAGATGTTCAGTAATATTCGATTCCTTGGTAAAATTTCTTCTACAAAAGGTAAAAACTGTGCATATGAAGTTCTAATGAATTCCAGGCCTTCGGACCGATGAAGAGAATAGACCAGGAGTTCTTCAAGAAGGTGGTGCTCATCGAAGGCGACCTGGGGAAGCCTGATTTAGGCTTATCTCAAGCCGACAGGAAGCTGATCCAAAACGAAATCGAGGTTGTTTTCCACTGCGCTGCCGCCACCAAATTGAACGAGTCGCTTTTAAACGCCACCAATGTAAATGTTAGAGGAACGAAGCTTTTGGTGGAATTGGCCAAGGAAATGAACGCCCTCAAGGTAATTGCGCGAAGGATCGCATGAATTTCCAGCGACGTTTGCGATATTTTTCACAGGCTTTCGTGTTCGTCACATCGGTGTATTCCAATTTTCCTTTATACGAGATCCACGAGAAATACTACGATGCGAAAGTAACGGCGGAAAAGTTGTTAAAATTGACCGATGGGATGAGGTCAGAGGCCGATGCCAGTAAACTAGCAGAAGAGTAAGTTTATTAATTTAAATCCTTTTTAAGATGGTTTAGATCTTAGTGATTTCTTGAGGCATGAAGAGTATTTATTTTTGGTAACATTGTCACTTCTCTCTAGAATATACAATAAACAATTCTGAATACAACAGTATATAAACGACTATTCCAGATTACTAACCGACTGGCCCAATGCATACACGTTTACATTAAACGTAGCAGAAGATTATCTGAAGAAAGAGGGCGACAAACTACCCCTTTGTATCATCCGCCCTTCCCTGCGTAAGTACTCGTCACTACAACATTCTCTTACAATTTTATTAGTTTATTAAAATCGTGGATTTCCAGTTCTACCGTCTGTCGAAGAACCGGTGACGGGTTTTACGGATTCCATGGCGGGTTTGTCCGCGGACACAGCGCATTATGCGCTAGGGGTGACCAGGGTGAATTACTATCAAAGCGGAACCATAGACGCAGTCCCGGTGGATTACGTGGTGAATTTGATCATCGCTTCCGGCTGGTACGCTGGCTTGCAAAAGTAAGGATTTACCTGGATAATTTCCCGGATAAGCACTGTTTTGGTTTGTCGTAGAATGCGCTTGAAGAGGGGAGATTTGCAATCGACCGGAACCAACATATACCACTGCATCAGTTCGCAAGAAAAACCAATCACGAAAGGTATTGCATTTGCGTCCAATTAGAGCGAATGATTCAATAAAATTTTCAGACGAATGGTTCGGGATTGTACACACTGAATTAAGAGACGTGCCCTCGTCGAAAATGATCCAATTGCCCATGCAAATTAACACGGCCTGCTACTACAACTACAAATTCCTGACGTTCATCCTGCACACCTGCATGGCCTTCCTCTGCGACACGGGTTTGAAACTAGCGGGAAAACAACCATCGTAACTCCAATTAATCACTATAAACTTCACCTAACTAACTGCTAATTTCCAGGATTGTGAAAATGTACGACAAAATCCACGAGGCTCAGGAGATGTTCTCGCCTTATTTGTTCCGGGAATGGTACCTGTCGAACGACAACACTCAGAAACTGCTGAAGAGGATGTCGTTCAAGGACAGGGATTTGTTCAAGTTCGATATTATCGAGCTGAATTGGCAGTCCTATTTCGTGAATTACGTGAAAGGGATAAGGGTGTATCTCCTGAAGGATCCCATGTCTACTCTAACCGAAGGCAGGGAGCGACAGCGGCGTAAATTAAATATTCAACTGGTATCTGCTGCCGTTTTGGCTGTAATTATTTACGTTATTAGCAAATTTCTGTTGTTTAGGGTGTTTCTGAGATGATTTGTGTAATTTATTTTTCCATGAGTACTTTAAATTTGGTGATAGTTAAGTGTAAAAATGCGTTTTGATTAGTAATTGTAGTTGAAAAATAGGTTAATGACAAGATTGTTTGTTACACTTCCGTTGATTTAATTAAATACGTAAATAACAAACTTCAATTGCTTCCGTTTAATTTTCCATCTTTTAATGTTATAATTATTAATAGAGGCAATGAAATACTGACGTTATTGTATTAATTGTCCAGTGAGTCCGCCATAATTTAACATTTTTTAAAAATAAATTACTTTTTCATAAATAGGTGAATTTTTAGAAAGTAATTACATTACATCCAATATCAATTGAATATTGTTTATAATTATGAACCAGTTGTTATATTATCACAATATTAGAGGTACAGAATTAACAAAATGTTTATAAAATTGTGGAGATTTTGTGATATTTTGTACAACTTATGAAAGAATAAACAATACGTTAAGGTCTTCTGTAAATATATGTTTTTCACCTACTTTTTATTGCGAAATTCTCAGTAACATGTCTTAAATGTTACATAACAAGTGGCTTTTTCTAAATATGGCTGAAAGTAACTAGAGAAACACATTTTATGTTAATTCCTTTACCTTACAACTAGGTTAGTGCAATAACAATTCGTTTAAATCTGTTTATTTGAACAAAATTAAGGATAAACCATAATTTCATGTTTCGGAGTAAACAAGTAATATCTGGTAATTTAAAAATTTCTGTAAAACATCAAATAATAATAATAAAAAAGTCACCAAACTCCAACAATTTTGTACGAAAATTGCAGACTCTCTGTTCATGAACTTTTTGCAATTAAAAATTGCATTATCTTTTTTGCTCGATCAATAATTACATAATTTTCGAATAATTCATAATAAAGTATTTTCCGGTATGAATTGTACCTACGTTACTTACCAAGAAAAGAATTTTAGTTTAAATGTGTATAATTTCTATTACCGTGTGGATATTTTTTTATTACAGGTATAATAATTTAAAACATCTGACGTCCAAGCGAGTACTTACAATAAATATAAATACTTCTCATTTATTTAAAACAGAATTGCTCACATTAGCATCAAATTTAATTAAGCATTCGTATAATGTATGGACTTTACATTGAATGATTTCAATTTCTCGCAATTTTCTACATTGTGGTATTTTATAGGTCTCGATAAAAAACGAATATATCTCAATTTCGCTGAGTCAATCCAATTAAACTAATTTTAAATGGGACATTTTAATTAGCTGAAAATTTTTGTTTAATGAAATTTTAGCCTAAACACTGAAAATTAACAATTATTTACATATCTAACAGTTAACATGTAGCAAAACATAGTGTTTAAAAGTAGTTTTTTCCATTAGAACCATTCCGTCATTATTAAAAGAAAATTACCTCACTCTAGGAAGCGCAGTGCTTTATTATACATTTAATGTGAGCAATAAATTTGATATATAGTATAATTCCCTGCAATATCACTACGTTAGGCCACCCGTGAACGAAGAACATTCATGTTGTAAGTTTTTTCACATTTATACGAAGAGAATAATTAATTTACCTCACATTAAACCAGACTCAGCATTAATAAACACACAATAACTCAATAAAAGCGAAAATTCTATACCATTGTTCCTGCGTCAAAATAAACTGTATGCATAATAATTACATTACGTTAATTAATAATTAACTCACGTTGGTTGTCAGTGCCTACTCGACGGTATTGCAGCCATTTTATCTGGATCTATTTCTGGCTATTTTTTATTAATTTAAGGAATATTTAACAACTAGCATAAGTGTTTGATAATTAAATATAAATATATTCCAGGTGAGTTTAAAATAATTTCTAAAATTTATTGGTTTAGCTGATTAGAACGCATTTTTATACTCAACAAATTGTGTATGCACTCAACAATATAGTTGTTATTATTGATAATGCGAATCGGATTAATAATTCAATTTTTCTTGTCTCCCCTTTACCCCTTTTAGCAATATAATTGAAGAGGTGTCGGTAATAAATATTAATTTTTGCATTTCCAATTTTTTCAATATAAGTTATAAATAATCGAGGTAATTAACCGAATTGAATGCGACCGGTGCATATTAATTTATTCGCAGACGGGCCGAATTCCGCTAGCTTTTTGTCAACTATGCGCTTTTGCCCGGAGGCAATCGAAGTCAAGGTGGGGAAATGCAGCTACATAAGCAAAGATAGGTGTACTTTTTTTCAAGTAGCCATTTCATTGCGTGCTCGTTCGGGCTTCGCCTTCCGCGGACCGTCCACAACTAATTCATCTATTCATAATCGCTTTGGATCGCGAGAAGTTGATATCGATTTCTACAGCATCTTTTTAGAGTTTTTGAGATTTTTCGGAACAATTCCGGACAATTAGTTAGGTGAGTAGTTATACTAACAATGATTTGGAATTGTAGTGTTCATCTGGATTGACTCTAATTAGTGCAAAGTTGTTGTCTATATCACACACTTGTAGAATCGTATTCAAGATCACAGGTGCTTAGAAAGATCAGTGGCGCAATAAAATTATAGTACTTGTTTCGATTGAAAATATACAGGGTGTTTCCTAAACATGCGGCAAAAATTCAGGGGGTTGTTCCTTGGACTATTCTAAGAATATTTTGTCCTTTGATGATTTTTGAAAAACCTCTTTGTTTCGAAGATACAGGGGAAACAAAATTTTAGATAATAACATTTTATTATGAAAAATTACATGAAAATTTAACTTAACCTACAAAAACTGTTGAAAATGACCACCTCTAGCCAGCATACAAGCATCCAATCTTCTCCTCATCCCCTTGTTTCTCCTCAGTTTAATCTGTATTCCTTTACCATCTGAACTTATCTTAACAATTTTAAGTCAAAAAACTGGCCGTTTTTAGTAATTGGAATGTTGTTAAACAAATTTAAAAATAAATTGTACCTACTTAGTAAACACAGTGCGGTACGCATTTTTATTTAAATTATTATTAATTTTAAAAATATGAAAAATGTTGTTCGCCCTGTATCTTCGAAACAAAGAGGTTTTTCAAAAATCATCAAAGGACAAAACATTCTTAAAATAGTCCAAGGAACAACCCCCTGAATTTTTGCCGCATGTTTAGGAAACACCCTGTATAAATTACAAGAAAACCAATTGAAAACTACACTAATTACCGAGACTTGTAATTAAATTAGACTCGAGTACACATAGAGCATTTTTAATTTTTGGAAAAACATTTCTTTTTGGCATAAACAACCGTCACTTATTCCTTATCTGCAAGTATTTATGTATTTAATAACCTTCCACTAATTACCTTTAAACTAATAATTAAGTTTAATATACCTGAGTGTCATTGCCATTATCAGAACGAGTGCAAACGTTAATGGTGGCTGTTATTATTATTGTTACATGTCCTTTTGTTTATCAAGAAATTCTAAGTGTAGAAGAAACATCAACATTCACCTTCGCCTCAAATTTTGGTCAAGTTCAATAGCCAATTAAGCAAGTACAAACTAATATAATTTGTTACGGTTGCAATTAATAAAAAATAATTGCCCGGTTGAATTTTTGACACTCTTCATTTTCCTGCAAACGTTAAAATTTATTATGTTAATAACAAACATTAACATTTAATTTACACTTTTCTACTTTGACCGATGTTTAATATTTATAATATTAGATCACTAACGTGCGTTTCCTGCATGCACAGATCTGAATTTTTAGATTAAGGAGATTGGGTTTAACGGTACATATGTATTTTGAATATCATTATAATTCTCAAGTTTCAACATTTCGCTCGGTTATACGTAATTTACAACCAGCCAATTATTTTTATAACGGTTTCCGAATTTTTAATTCGCCTTTTTTTATAAACAATACTATAAAAAGCGGTAGTATTGGCAATGAGCTTAAGCGAAGAACAGGATTTTTTGTCAAAGGACACTTTTTATACACTGATAAATTTGAATTTTTTATGAATATTCTAAGCAGGATACGCCGCTGTATTTCGAGTTCTATACCTATAATAATAGTTATAGGAGAAAGAAACCTGTTCAAGTTCAATACGCGCTTATTTTCTATATCCCGTGGAAAAAACTGATGAAACCAAGGTTTAACGAGCAGCGCAATGGCTGTAATTACATGTGGGGCTGATTTTTTATATGATCAATCGCTTGTATTCTAATTAGAAAAATTTCCATCATCTTAACGAAAGGCTAATTAAACTAATATGTCACTTTATTTATTGGAAATTAATTAATTTGTATTTGAGGAAACGATAAATTTCAAGGATTTTTCACAGGTATTTATTGTGTTCCGCAGTGAAATAGATATTAATTTGAATTAATTTGGAATTTATTAAAAACTAGTATGAAAAATTAACGAAATTACAATAAATTACAGGAATTTTTCTACCTTCATTTCCGACTGATTAGAAACGCATTATTCGAGAATCCGCTGTCGCTTATTAATTTTCCTAATTGCCCAGTTATGTATCCGTAAAATTCCATCTATTCCGTATCGAATAGTTAATTCGACCGATACGGAAAGCAACAAATTCTATTTTTGTTATTTCGAGCCTAAACCGGCTTTCTAATATTCGCAAAAAAAACAAAAATTTTCGCGAAAAATTCCGCTCGCACGCGCTTTTTCATCAAAGGAAAACGGGTTAGGGATTTCGCAATAGATGCGATTAGAAAGCCACCGGGCATTGGCAAGTTGTAGCCATTTCAACCGGGTCAATAAGTCTATTAAAAAACATTCCTACATGTCTCTAAACGCATTGAGACATTCCATAATCCAGTTGCGATAATCGATTTATTTTGTAATTCATACATCGATTTATCACCACATCAAATAGGGATTTGTATAAGGAGTATCTAGAATGCAAATTTTCATTTGTATGCTTCAAAATCTCTATTACCTATTACACATTTTACTATAGATTATTTATCGGTTTGTTTTGGTAATCGTATTGAATCTAGTTTCCAATTCCAGATCCACATTAAAATAAATTTAAAAAAATGGAGGCTGCAGAACACCATCAAGCCGAGCGAGAAGGCGCCGACATAACCGCATCGGACATGCTGGTTCCCGAAGAAGAAAGCGAAATCGTGAATTTCTACCGGGACTCCACGGTATTCATAACGGGAGGGACGGGTTTCCTGGGCAAGCTGGCCGTAGAGAAGCTCCTGAGGACCTGCGAGGTCGCCAAAATCTACATCCTGGTGCGAGCCAAGAAGGGCAAGGACCCGCAGAAGCGGTTCGAGGAGCTCTTCGACGACCCGGTAAACATTCATTCTTTAATCCTTTAATCCTGCTCTTTACATTGGACGATTATTTAAAGAGTTTCGAGCCCTTGAAGCGGAAAGATCCGACTCTCCTACGAAAGGTGGAGACGGTGAACGGGGACGTGAGTTTGCCTAATTTAGGAATGACTGAAGATGATCTGGAATTAATCAAATCTGAGGTGGATGTAGTTTTTCATTTCGCAGCCACTGTTAGATTCGACGAAAAGCTCCGTACAGCTTGCAATATAAACGTCCGGGCGGTCAGAGATCTGATGAGAATTGCCAAGGATATGAAGAAATTGAGGGTAAGTGTCGCAATTGTCCTTATAAGAGCACTTGGAGGTTTCAGAAATCGCGATAAATTTATGTGAAAACACCTGCCTTATTCGTTAAATCATCATTTATTTACCATTAATCATATCGCTCTTATTTATACGTGAATGTACAGAGTGTAACGGGAAATGTACAATATTTAGATTAATTAATAACACACCTTGTATGTCTGCTTAACGATGCAACGAAAAAAAAATTGGCATTAGGTAAAAGGTAAAATTTATGCAGTTCGCATACGTTTCGGACGTAATTAGGTCGTTATGAGCCTTCACTTTTGATAAATATTCAAAGTAATGTATATTAAAAATTTTTACGTCGCTCATATTGTGGGAAAATTGCACGTTTTGCAATTTCTGCTTTCTAATTAACGAGTCGTTTTATTGAAAAAAAATGTACCAATGATTTGAACCAGCCAATTAGTTATAATTTTTTCTCAGCTACGCGTTTAGTACTGATCGATTATGCAATATACAGTAGGTAGAATCGGATACATTCGTAAATTTAATAACTATAGTCCGTTCGTGATCAGGAAGCAGTAAAAGGGACTAATCTTGTATGAAAAAGAGAGTACGAGTGAGAAAAAAATAATAAAATTTCAAAATTTTTAGGCTATTGTCATTGAGTGATAGTAATGTTTATTTTACTTTAGTTGTGCTACTCTGTATACAGGATATTTAAAAGTAAGTGTCCCTCTTCTAATTCTATAAACTTGAAAACAGTGCTTCAATAAGCCACTATTTCCTGATACCGAACGGAGTATAAGAATGACAATTAGTTGGAAGATTAACGAAAATGTCTCTAAATGACAGGTTTTTTGTGTCATCCAGTGACATATGTCATATTTCAAGTTTCATGATTAACTGCTTCAACTGTCATCAACTTGATTGCGAACAGAGTATAATTGAAGTTTTTTTCTTAGGCCCTAATACACGTATCAACGGCATTTTCGAATTGCGTACACACAACCATCGAAGAAAAATTCTACGATCCTCCAATAACCGCCGAAAAACTCATAACATTAGTCGATTGTTTGGACGATAATAAATTAGATAAAATTACTCCAACGTAAGTGCACACATTGTATTCAAGTCTTTAATATTTAATAATTGCATTCGTTTTCTTACAGTCTACTAGGAGATTTTCCCAACACTTACGCCTTCACGAAATGCGTGGCAGAAAACGTTTTGAAAGCGGACGGATCGAATTTACCGGTCGGTTTGTACAGGCCTTCAATCGGTAAGATTTCCATTCTATTTATCTCATCTTTCTCGAGTTACTTCTTCCAACCCGTTTTTAGTAATCGCCACCGTGAAAGAACCGGTAGCCGGATGGATAAACAACATATACGGCGCGACCGGCGTGCTTTTAGGCGTTGCCGTCGGTTTATTGAGAGTATTGCACGGCAAATCGAGCAATCACGCTGATATGGTACCGGCTGATTACGTTATAAACAGTGTACTGGCCGCAGCTTGGGAAGTTGCCACTATAAAGTGAGATTTTAGATTCATTTTTACGATGCATGTTTATATTCTTCTCAATCCTTCTTGATCCTTGCGTATCCTTGTCGAGTCTTCTCGATCTACTTCAGTCCTCAATCCCTATGAATCCTTGCAAACTTCCTCAAACCTTTTCAGTTCTCCTCAATTCTCCTCAATCTATTCTATTCTTCAGTCTATTCAATCCTTATTCATACTTGTCGATCCTTCCCAGTCCTTCTTAATCCTTCTCAATCCTCCCCAATCCTTCTCAATCCTTCTCAATCCTCCTCAATCCTTCTCAATCCTTACCAATCCTTCCCAATCCTTCCCAATTCTTCTCATTTTCATTACTTTGACTCATTCAAACAAATTGTTTGTAGAACAATAAACGACAATAAAGAGATTCAGGAGAAGGATAGCAGGGAAGAAAAATTCGAAAAGGAAATGCCCATTTACAATTTCGTCAGCACGCCTGAGAAGCCTTTGACCTGGGGTGAGTGAAATGAAAACGATTCATATTTAAAAATCGAATAAATCCTCCTTTTTTTCAGATTTATTTCAAGTTTTAAGTACCAAACATTGTAAGCAAATTCCATCGGAACAATGCATTTGGCACAGTTACTTCAGGATGAGGGAGAATAAATGGGTTTATTTGGTATTAGTGTTTTTACTACACACAGTTCCAGCTTACATTGTCGATTTTATGGCTTTTTGTATAGGAAAGAAGCCAATGTGAGTATAAAAATTAAATACAATCGAAAAATAACTAACCAGCATTTCCAGTCGTTCTTAAACCTTCTTAAATCGTCCCAATTCTTCTCAATCCTTCTCTACCCTTTCTGACTGCTCGAAAGAATAACAATAAAAAGAGAATATTATTTTAGGATGGTCAAAGGCTATAAAAAAATCAACAAATTCGCCGACGTCCTGTCGTATTTCTGCCAGAGACAATGGACCTTCAGTAACGAGAACGTCCAATCGCTGTGGAAACGCCTGAAGAACAAGGACCAGGAACTGTTCGAATTCAGCATGAAGAGGGTCGATTGGGACCTCTATTTCTACACGTACACGAGAGGCGGGCGGGTGTACGTGATGAAAGATCCGCTCGATACCATCCCCAAGGGGAAAGTCAAGTACTGGAAGTTGTTGTTCGCGCACTATACGCTTGTGGCCATCCTGGTGGCCGTGTTTTTCAAATTCTTTATGGTTCTGTTCGATGTTATTTTTTAGAAATATACGATTTTGTTAATTTGAGGTTTTTTTACATCTATATTATCTGAAATAAGTTTTTGAAAGAGGCTAATTCAGGCACCGAGTAACTTACAAAAACGAAAAATGGGATGGGTGGTAAATTTTTAGAAACAAAAAAATGAATAGTAAAATGAGAAGCAGTCTATTCAAGTGAATAAGAGACAACGTTTTCTCCTCGTGGATAAACTTCAGAATAGCATATTGAAATTTTTAAGGCAAATTGGGTTGCCTAATACGTTGTGTAAGAATATTCCATATTGTAGCATAAATAGAAAGCATTAAACACCAGCATTTTACATAAATTATTTTCCCCCTACACCTTTTTTCCACTTTAAAATTTATTCTAATATACCAATTTTTTGCCCATTTAAATTACCCTTTCCAGACACCCCAAAGCATCTTACAACAAACCAAAAGGCATTCTCGTACCAAAATGCATATTTTTAATTTCCTCATTCCTTCTAAAATACACCACAATAATCAAGCCACTCTGGCGCATTCGCACAACCTCTTCGTCCCATTGCTGGGCTTGCACACGTAAAACGTAGGCACCCCGTCGTACCCCTTCTGTATCCGTTTGATCAACTTATCAACAGCATCGGCGTACATCAGAGTAACCGTACACCCACCGAAACCGCCCCCCGTCATTCTGCTGCCAAACACGCCCTCCACGCCTCTCGTCAGCTCCACCAGCTGATCCAATTCGGGACAGGACACCTCGAAATCGTCCCTGAGCGACTCGTGGCTCTCGTACATCAGCCTGCCGAACTGCTCGAACTTGGAATTCTTCAGCAACCGGGCGCCGTCGAAGGTCCTCTTGATCTCGCTGATAACGTGCCGGGCGCGCTTCAACAGCGACGTGGGCGCCTTCAGCTTGAACCTGTTCTCCAACAGTTCCCTGAAATCCATGTAATCGGCGTCGCGCAGGAACTCCTTGCCCATCAGCTCGGCCGCTTTGAAGCATTCCTTCTGGCGCTCGTCGTATTCGCCGCCTGAAGTAAACGAGCGTAAAACGGGAGTGATGGATAATGCGGTATAAAAAAGAACCTGCTAAATCGTGCCTCACGTTGCAGTTGGTTATTAGCACGACGATTTTGGGATCCGCCAGCGTGATGGGTTCGAAGGTTAACGAGCGACAATCGATCAGCAAAACGCTTTCAGCTTCGCCCAGTAATGCTATGAAAGGGTCCATGATACCGCAGGGCGCTCCAGCGAAGATATTCTCCGCTTTCTTGCAGGCCAGAGCTTTCTCAATTTTAGTCAATTCGGATCGACCGCCTGCAATATTACACCCTTAGAGTCGTAGAGAAATTATTTTACAAGGAGCGCATCACCGTTGAGCTCGTCTAGGAACATGTAGGTGGAGACACTGAGGGCGGCGCTGCTGGAGAGGCCGCCGCCGACGGGAACGGTGCTCACGATGACGGCCTTGAAGGCGTTCAGTTTGCCGAAGTAGCAGGACAGGACGCCTTTGACGTAATTGGACCAGGCAGGGCCGGATCTGTCCAGGTTGTAGATGCCGAACCTTACCGTGGGCTCCTCGACGCCGGCGGCGTTCGTGAAAATTTCGGCGAAGGTGCCGTCGTATCGTTTTCCTTTAAACGTGTAAGGATAATTGGGGAAGCTGATGGATTGGTGGTAGCTTACCCGCCCAGACTGTGTACAGGGGCAGGGCCATCGGCATGACGAAGCCCCCGTTGTAATCCGTGTGCTCCCCTATTAAGTTGACCCTACCCGGCGCGTAGGCGAACACTTTGGCTTCTTCGTGGAATTTCTTCAGGTATAGCTTCTTGGCTTTTCTGACTAGCGTTCGTATGGTCTGGAGTTGCTCTGCCATGGTGGAGGAGGAATTTCGGAAATTTTGAAAATGTGATTGATTCGTTATTAGTGATGTGTAGGTGTCATTGTTTTCTACTTTTATGACAGTGTGTGTCAAGAGGAGTGTATGATGTATGAATGTGATTGGGCGGTTTGTAATTAGGGCGTTAATCGATTGAATGTTGAGGTTTTGAAATAATTTTTATTGAGATAGGTGGTGTTGTTATTTGGGCCTCTTATCTTCGGTGAGTCCAGTTATCTCATTTCTATAAGAATTCCGAATTATCTATGGATGAAATTAATTAAAGATTAGTACAGTTGTACAAGGAATTATATCTACTTGCAAAGTGCAGATAATGTCTAGATTTTAAATTATTTTTTTATTATTTAAGGTGGTGCTGAAATTTTGGTCTTTTATCTTTCCCTATCTAAATCCCATTTCCCCGAAATCAATTTTATTAAACCTAGTAAGTACATTTGCATGAAGAATTATTGTGCTTGTATGTTAAATTGCAGAAAATGTTGATATTTTCAAATAATTTTTTTATTCTTTTAGGTGGTTTTGAAATTTTGGCCTCTTATCTTTGCAGAGTCCAATTATCCCATTTTTATTAGAAATCCTGATGATTTAAAAAATGTTTTCTTCTATAGATGAAATCAATTTTATTAAATCTAAAATTGCAGAAAATGTTGATATTTTCAAATCATTTTTTATTCTTTTAGGGGGTTTTAAAATTTTGGTCTCTTATCTTTACAGAGTCCAATTATCCCATTTTTATTAGAAATCCTGATGATTTAAAAAATGTTTAATGCTTAAATTTTAGCCTCTTATGTTTTCCTATCTAAATCCCATTTTTATTAGAATTTCTGATGATTTATAAAAATGTTTTCTTCTATAGATGAACTCAATTTTATTAAACCTAGTAAGTACATTTGCATGAAGAATTATTGTGCTTGTAAATTGCAGAAAATGTTGATATTTTCAAATAATTTTTTATTCTTTTAGGTGGTTTTGAAATTTTGGCCTCTTATCTTTACAGAGTCCATTTATCCCATTTTTATTAGAAATCCTAATGATTTAAAATAATGTTTATAATGCTAAAATTTTGGCCTCTTTACTTTCCCTATCTACATCTGACAAATTGCAAATATTCTATTGACGAAATCAATCAAAAACAATACAAGTGTACAAAGAATTTTATAATACTTGTAATATGTAGAAAATATCAACATTTTCAAAAAAAACTTAGTCCTTTAGTAGACCAGTTATCCCATTTTCTGACGAAATCATCGATTGATAAAATCAATTAAAAGCCGTACAATGAATCGCACTTAGCAATTTTAGCTGTTCAATCGTTTTCGAAAGTACCAATTCTAGTAAACGCCATGTAATATAAGGAGCTTTAGCGGCTGCGTGTCGTTCCCATCTCGCATCGCATGTGAGATTGTGAGAGATTCGCTTTTGCTGGTGCTGCTAAGCACGGTGTGGTGTGTGCATGCGGGCCTATAGGTGGGGACCGTACTACCACAAGTACTCGGAGCTCCCCGCTAGTGGGGTCTCGTGTGTGTGTGCACTATGCCCCACAACCTCGTCCAAAACAAATCGGCCTGTTAGTTGTTTTGTTTTCGTCGCGGCGTGGTTTGCTTCGCGACCGGTCATGTGGCATCTTTGCGTGCCACGCCGATAGTCTGATCGTTCTTGGACTATGGATTAGGATAGGACGTGCATTCGATTTAATTTTTTTCTTTTTTTTTCATTCGTTTTATGCCAGTTTTTGAGCCAGTTTTAGTATTAGTTTTTTTGCATTACTACTTTACGATTTTTTTTGTCGGATCCCGCTTTTTTTGGAGCGATTCAAGGTTGGTAGACTGAAGGGGACCTGATGGGGTGGCTGGGGTTGTGGGTTTAATCCAAATATCTATACAATCATAATTTTCTACAAAGCAATTTTGTATAACAAAAAATTTATGATATCTTCACTAATCAACAAGCTTATACTACACATAATAAATTTAGTTATTTTCAAAAGTAATTATTAATTGCATAAATTAATATTTTATTAACACGATAATGTTTACAAACACATAACTGTATTATAAGCCAATTTTCGTACACACTATTAAGTTTTTTTCTTTGATAAATGCAACACCACCAACATCGTAATCACCGTTATTATCACGATGATGATCATTGGCAACTACGGTAGCGCCTCGTTCAATTTAGTTAATCATTTTTAATTTCACATCCGCGATATTATCAAAAATACCAAACGGACGGTTCGTTCGCCGAAGACGCTCCTCTAGGAGTTAGAAGCGGTTTTATTCGAACGAAAAATATTTTCACAGGCGCAATTTGAATTGTTGCTGCTACGAACCCGGCGATGCATTATATATTTATTATGAATAATAGATGAATGGGCGGAAGTATTATTGCCGCATTCGAACTACTGAAATGGTAAAACTTTTATATGAATATAATGAGCGCCTGAATAAATTTATATTCGACAGATTCATCGTTGTTGCTACCAAATTGCGAATAAAATCGTACGAGAGCCAATCTGAGCGAGCCCATTGATTGATTTTTTAGTACGTTTTAACAGTACATAATCAATAGATTATTCTTCTCGCAACATGTTCCCTTATAAATAATCATTCGTACGGTTTATGTAGGACATTTTATTGCGGAAAAATTATTAACACCGAAGCGTAGGTTCCGTTTAAAAGCCCATGAAAGCGATTGCTGGGAATCGCAATGGCGTACTTTGCGTATTTTATGAATTAAAAAAAACATTCGGAATAATGTATGCACGAAACAGTAATTAATTAACTAATTAATTCGTGTAGGACGTAACTGAAATTTAGGAGTTTTCTTTAATAGCGATAATATATCTTTTGGTGAACATGCAAAAAAGGAAACTAATGGTAATTCAAAGTGCAAGAATATTGATAATAAATTAAAGATTTGGTAAATTTATTTAGTATTTACAAACAAGAAATTTGACTAGGAAGTCGTTAAGTATGCTAATTTTTCAAAACCTAAATAAAATAATAAAACAATGGCGAAACAATAATCCGGACCGTAATTATTGGTTTATTAACTGTGTAGGTTTGTACAATTTCCTGCTTTATTATCCGTCTTTTGAAATGAATTATTTTAAAGGTATAATTTTATTTGCGCTGCCATTATACTACCGCTATTTCTTATGAATTAAAGATCGCTTTTAATCGTTTTTAATGTCTATCTTTCCATAGCAGGCTCACAAGCAGCTTTTGTGTAGCGCATAGCAAAAAGCCGATTAAATCAACTTTCATTCAATCAAGCGAAAATTCATTACTAACATCACACAATTGTACCTACCTTGTATTATTCTTAATAAGATCGTAAATTACATTCAAAACAGAAATACCTTCGGAACGAAGATGAAGACATAAAATAAGGCTTGCGAAAAAATCCTACAGGGCGTTTTGAATATATAAGCAGCAATTGGATGATTACCGATTTCTGTATAGCTAAAAGTGTTCCAGCAAAATCAGTTCCTCGTATCTACACGAATGTGCCATTATTTTCACGAGCTGCATATTCTGCGTAAACCGCCGTACACCCCTCGTATATACTTAAATAAATATAACAAAATGAAGTAACTTTATGCAATCAATAATAACGGTGATAGTTACGGCTGCTCAAATATTGTTCCATAGATCGAAAGCAAAGATACAGCGTGTAATGGCTACCATAAAACGTATTATTGAAGATGCAGTCTACCATGCACCATACCAGATAACGTCGTAGAAAGTAGCGTACGTAACTGAAAAAAAAGTTTTTTTTAGCAAAAATACGGGTTTTATTGATTAACGGATATAACTCTATAGTTCTATTTCTTATCTAATTTGTATAGAAGAATTAGTTACATCTACTAACGAGTGAAGTCGTATTAATTAAGTGTAGTAGGTATTTGATGGATTTATTATTGAAATGCATTCCTTTTGTGCGTTGTTTTTGGACTTCCTCGTTATTTTCGACGCCTCAATTGGAAAAAATGCGTATTTACGCAGGATACGGGCGTCACCGTTAAATAACATTCGTTTCAAGGCTGCAAAACAAAGTAACGCGCGTTATCTTATCATTTCGTGGCATCGTTTTACAACAGACCTTGCGTGGAGTTTTTTATCTCTTGCACTTGTTTTATAGAAATGGATAGATTGTAATTTAATAAGGAAGAATTCCACCGACGATTCGTCGATATCTATACTCCGTTCGCTATCAGGAAAACCTATAATTATTTGTGTGCTAAAGACGGCATGATTGATTCAACGTAAAAATCATAGAATTTTAAAATCTTAAGGGTTTTTATCGTTGAGTATAGTAATGTTTGTTTTACTTTAATTGTGCTACCCTTTATAGAGTATATTCAATGATGGACTCTTTTCTAATCATATAGATAAAGTGACCTGAACACATGCAGTGCACAGTGGGGCTTTTGGAATATTAAATAGATAGACCTACTAGAAGGATATAATAAAATTAAACATCTCTATTATTGATATTATGATTATTACGAATAGTATTGTTAATTATGTATCAAATAAATAATTCAATAGTGTTTACTTTTTATTTATTTGTTGGTGCGCCTATTGTTTGCAGCTTAAATGATGGTTTTATTACTATTTCCTAATGGCGAACGGAGTATAATATTTCTAAAGCTTATAATGCTGGTTTTGATTTTTTTTTCAAATAATTGGGAAAAATCGGTTGATAATGATGAAAAATATTGTTTACAGTTTACAAATATTTGCATATTTCTTCAATTTTTGTACATAAATACAACTTTTATATTAAACTTTTCACTCGTTTGATTTTATAGATATGCACATATGTAGACCTTACTTAACACCAGAATAACAATTATTTATACTAAAACTATTTCGATTCCGAACGCAAACATAAATTACTAATAATAATCGTTATAAAAGGATTATCGTTAACATTTCATATTTCTTTATTATTCCAGAATTCAGCCCGTCTACTTCGTCATCGCTCGGTAGACTATAATCGAAAATTTTCGACCGAATTGTTATGGAACGCCTCTATCGAAACTCTAATTTTATAGCAGATAACAAAAATTCGTTACTTTTTTGAAACTTTTCGATAAAACTTCGCTTATTTGTGTTATGCTTCGAAGATAACGACGGTCGAAATATTTGAAAATAGTCACACGTGGACTGGTTGTTTTCTTTTTGATAAGACGAAGAAAGAGGATATTTTCATGGTTTTCATGGTAAGTTGACTTTGTTTTTATCGATGATAAGTAATTAGAATGGCCTTATTCCGGATTCTATTGATAATTCAACATAAGCTAACACATCGTTAAAATTAAATAAATTAAAATTTTTGAGCACAAAAAATAGACTCCGCTTTGCTATCGCAAAAGACCTTGATAATTGACGGATAATATTTATTATGCACTCGGTGGAATCTAAATTTACGCTAATAAACTGAACATCCGCATGTTCATAAGCGATTTTGCCGTCGAATTAGACGTTTTAGTGAAAGGTGTTCGATCCTCAATACCCGAGGAATCGTAAAAATTGGCAAAAATACAAACTCGAATACTCCCACTTTGCCCGCTTTTGGTCACGTTCGTAATTTGGTTACGGTTTAGAAATTTCGCGGAGATTTAATGAGTGTAAGTGAAAGAGGAGAGATAAGCAAACCATTTTGTAACTTTGTATCTATCAAGCTTTCCTTACCGCTTAGTATAGAAAAAAAAACCAATCCGCGAATAAACCGGCGCTTTTAAAAGGTTTTTCATTGGGTATTATTTTAATTAAAGGTTAATTAAATTCAAACGTACTTCTTCAGTAGACTATTATTATCATTAAAACAGTTCCGTATTGTAAATTGTAATAAATGAAAGTCGTTAGGAATATAAATTAAAAAAACTTTTATAAATTATAACGCCTTATTATAATAGACTCTTAATAGATACCTGCAATTATTATGCATACATTATTTTTCTCGCAACATAACGTCATATTAATGGCTTAAATTCGCAATCGAAAGAAACGAAATCATTTTATACTCCACCCCATAATATTTCCTATTTGAATATTTCATTAAAAATAACTCTAATTAAACATCAGTATGCGCACATTTACTTTCTTCTGCCACTTTCCGTTACTCATTTGCCCGGTTAGACAATTGCAGAGACGAGGAAGTGCTGCGCCTATTGTAATAGTGAATTGTACCGGAGCTGGGATGGTTTTAATTTTTCTTAGCTAGTAGACCATGTTAAAAAAATACCGGCAAATGTCCCGCTGATTACTTAACATCGTTGCGACTATTGTTTGCTCGAGATGAGAGAGAATGAAGCCGTTTCCAATTGGAATCTGATACCTGCAAGAATGGGAAACTGGTTGTAATTGGTAATAAGGCGATTTTCGGAATTTATTAATTCTGAATTGGTATAAAAGACGCGCCTTCTCGAGAGAAGAATCCGGGTGTTTTAATGTCAGTAGAGTCCACCCTACGCAAAATTGCATTGCATAGCTATAAATTACTTACGTTTTATTATTATTTATTTTATTCAAAGAAATACATAGGTCGTAGAAAAGTGATCACTTCAAAAATGCTTGTGCTAAAGAATTTATTTATTTATATGCTCGCTCTATTGGAGGATTGTGAAATTTCAATTACTGATTGTCGTTTCTTTGATGGAATGATTTGACGAATACCGAATGCATTCGAATCGCTTTATATGGAATTTTGTATTGACCTATTGTAACCTTAAGGCCAGGGTTTCGCTTTAGATTTATAATCCAGAATTATGTCAATGGAATTGCTATTATCATATGATGAATAGTCGAGAACTGATGTTTTGTAATTTGCCGTTTATCCGAGGATTTTTATTGTGCGAGCGAATAAAAATCGCTTAAGAAAATTATTAATTAAGCGCTGAAATATGTAAGCAAGAAGCGTATATGAGGTTCATTGAATTAGAATTTAAGATCCTGCTTAGAAGCATTTAAAGTTTTTAAGAGGAAAAAATTAAGGAGCGTTCGAACGTTTCGCTTAATTGCATCTTTTTCATAATTTTACATAAAACAGTCGAGATTTACGACCGAGACAAAACACAATTCGATGAATAATCCTCGAAGGTGTGCCGTTTTGTCTTCCGCTTTAGAAACTCCAAGGAATTGCAGCATTGTAATTTCGTTTAAAATTACATACATATAGTTTTCGTACCTAACTTCCTACATATTGTTTCGCACTTGTTGAAATCAGTCCTAAATTATATCTACAATCTTAATAGATAAATCCTGCTAATGTTACGTTAGAAGTATTAAAGCGATTATCTACGAAAAACACCGAGTCACGTACATTTCAATGACATTGACACGCGTTTGTACCGCACAAAACTCTATATTGTTGAAACTTTAATGTTCACAAGCGTCAGGGCTGCCAGCAATTACAATTTTTTATATAGATTAGAACGGCCGCGTGGGCGGTTAACAAAATGTTTGAACAATTTATTTTTTTGTTTTCGACGCGTGGGTACACCCGAGTGGTGGGTGGGGTCCCGAATTAAAGAAAGAACTAAAATGTACTTTTGACATTAGTTACCTTTTAGGTGTTCTCTTGATTTATGACATCTCTACTTTTATGGATTCTTAGAGGTCATATTTTTTTTTAATATTGTGCATGTTCTGCTTAATCTCAATTGTGTTTGAGAAAACGTTTCTTGTGCTTCTAATAAGTTACACCAATTATTGCCAGAGCAAATGGAATCATTTTTAATAAATTAAGGTATTAAGTATTAGCGCAAGTCATAAATTATTGTAGAAATACCCAGTAGAAAAAAACTCTTACCAACAATAGCTTGAAGATATTTAAAAGATTCCAACTAATTGATGGTAAATTTCCATAACACATCGGAAAATCGCTCCTAGCAGTTGTAACATACGAAAACAGGTTAAAAATTCCGAAAAAAAAGGTCGAAACAGGTTTTACCCGGCGGCTGGTCATTGAAACAAATTAGCTAAATCTAATTATGATTATTTCGCTATCAGATCGCCCGAAGGCAGGCCCATTAGCTTTCGATCGTGTATCGAGGTGTGTCTCTTTGATAAACGTGCGAACGGCCGGGCTGCGCTCTCTTAGCCCGGCAAAACACGGGAATCCCCGGATCGAATCTTGATCCGGTATCTGCAGTACAAGTACAATACGTGTATTTTATGGCATTGTCGCGTCCTTTTACTTTCCTTTCGGCTCTTCGGCGCATTGTCCGGGTCCCCGGAGCTCCGGAAATGCCTTAACTGGTTTATTAGCGGCGCTAGACTCGCCGTTCTCACGATCGAAATTAGCTAATTCTTGAAAAAAATGTTAATTTCGGTATTCGAAATGCTGTTGTTAAAACGTAAGTTCGTTAGGTACTTTCTATATGATTATGAAAATTAGTTTAAAAAGCGCATGGAAAAGATAGGAGAAATAGCATTGAAATAGCATAGGTGGTAATGAGCGATAGTAATAATTGTAAAATAGGCTTAATTACGGTTAAAGAACGTAGAAATTGTTTAGAAAAAATGCGAACGCAAAGGAACACCCTGTAATACCTACCCATGTGCGCATGCATTATGCATTATGCAGCGATGATGTTAATAGTAACAGAGTATAATAACAAAGCGCATTTATGTCTCCTTTTAAACGTCTCCGGCCGACAAAGGAAAAACCTTTCCCCCGTTCGATGCGATAATAAATCTCTAGAGATATCTGCCCTTGATGGTTTTTTCTCTCGAATGGAACGAAGACGTTCTCTAAGTAAAAACTATTGCAACAGTAAAAACGGTAAAGATAGTCGGATGAGATAATCCGCCGTATGTGGGGCATGGTCTTTATGCAAATACCCGTGTTTATCATCAGAATTTCCGAGCGTCCGGGCATTTATAATTTCGACGAAATTATTTGCTCCAACTAATTTTATTACCTACATGCGCAATTAGTGGAGAGAGAATTAATAACTAAATCCTGTACGAGTGAGCATACAATCAAGTATAGTCCTCGAAAATTTACTATACTCCGTTCGCCATCAAATGACAGCACGATTGATCTAATAGCGAACGGAGTATAAAAATGAAATTAAAGTTGGCGAAACTGACATATAAAAGTGTCATTTAGTGACATATCATGTTCCACGTTTCCTCATCTTTGTTTTGAACATTACATTCCACGTACAGGATGTGGTAGAAGGAAGTAAATTGGATCGTCCTGTAAACGTCTAAGTACAACGGAATATATTTGCGGAATAAAATTGTTATCGCACGCGATGACATTTCCGAGCATGGGAATGTCTTTGAACTCGCAACAATAGCGCGTAAGGATGAGCGGGGTGACCTTAAAAAGATGGCCGAACCTATATTTTGAGAGCCGCAACTCTGGGAAAGAGCGGAGGACTTTCACGTTTTAGAAATGCGTCGTAGATAAGGCGTTGGAGCTTGTGTTCTTCTTCCCAGCAAGAGATTATTATCGGCGATTGTTAGGTGAAGGCTTGTTAGGAAAGAGGCCAGGGGTTTGACAGGAGAAGAAGAAAAGGGCGACAGAGAGATGACAGAATTCTCAAGAGACATTATACATTTTTTTAAAGTTTATAATTAAGACATTTCGGTTCATTTTCGGTACATTTTCGTAACATAATTTACGATTTCGGAGGTTATTGGTGTTGCAAAACTAGGTACACTTATTCTTTTTTTCCTATTTAAATTCTTTAAATCCACCGGAAGTTGCTGTCAATTTTTTTACACTTCCGCTTTATTACAAGAATTTGACCAGTTGGTCAAGTTGACGCTAATTTTTTCTGGAATAAATTCGATTTTAAGTTGAAACCGCTACGCTATAATTTACATTTTAACTTTAATGGTGGGTAATCCCAACCAAAAACCAAATATTAGAAAAATAAGCAGTATTTAAATTCGTATCGGAATTCTTTGTTAACACTTACTTTGACTTTTCCGTCAATTTTAGACCAAAAGCAGAGGGACGTATTCGAAATATTTTCCAGCCCAAGGAGCTGAAATGCTGGAATATTGAAAATCTTCATAACGAACCTCTGATGAAATCAGCAAATTTTTTGAACAGTTTCGGGTAAATAGAGTTAATTTTAAACATTGCAAGTCTTAAATTAGAGGGCGTAGACCGGAAGTGCCGGCCAACAATGAACTTGCACCGCTTCAATTGCCACCCACATTTCCGTTCGAAACCGGTCGTGCCGTCTCCGTTTGACGC